TTCAATTGAGAATGACCCAAAACAATACTAATAAATATATTTCGATGATATATTATTATTTAACAATTGAAAAATAAAAATAAGAAATCAGAAATTAATTAATCATATCTATTAGAAATCAAGTCCACCCTTAACATCCGAGAGTTAAAATTTAATATAAAGTGATTTTTTATTAGAGCAAGTAGATTAAGAAAGTATAACTTACGAGGAAAATAGCTTCAGCATAAATAATTAAGGAAATTGTATTTTTGAAGCGTACCTTTGAAATTACATTCTTTACTTTGAAGCGTACTTTTTCAATAAACATACTTATCGAGAAATAGATCATTTTAATTCAAATGAGGTCTTAATTTTTGATATGGTATAAATTTTTTAAAAAATTTTTTTATAGAAATTTGATTCATTTTCTCTGTATCATAGTATCTCTATAAAAGTATTAAGACTTTATTAAAATTTATTGAATTGGTTTAATTAAATTTGATGTGGTTTCAAGTTTTCATTATTATTTAAAATTTTTAAAAATCAAACTGAATCGATTCTTTTATACAAATCAAAACCGAATCGGAAAGTTTTAAAATCAAACTAGTTCGATTTAATCGGTTGGATCGGTTTTTTACTGCCTAGCCGGCCAGCCCTAGATGACCCTGGTACAAAAACATAGTTCACGGGTATCAATCACGTGCCCACAACAAAATGCAAAGAGAGAGAGAGAGAGAGAGAGGATAAGTGATAGGTCACGGGCCAAATCCTTTTGTTCTGTCGCATTGAAGTCTAGAAGAAGATAGGATATAATGTTTGCTTGCTCAAACAAACTTGTGGTGGATATTACATTTTGGATTTGGTACATCATTTTATGCTATTCCTATTTTTAATATACATTTTTAAATACACTATACTTAGCTTTGATTAAATTTTTAATTAAGGCCAATGGTTCAATTGACAATTGATACCCTACTAATGTAGGACACTGCCCCTTAAAGTGTATTTTATATTTACATTCTTTTGTTTTCTTCTTTTTGGTTAACATGTAATCTCGATATTCCTTTCTCAATATATGTTAATTTGTTGTTTTAGGTCATAGAAAATGTGGCTTTTTTTTTTTTCTTTTTCTTTTTTTTTTTTTGTTGAGTTTTAAATATATGATTGTTATCGATATGTTTTTCTTTTACTATAAAAAAACAAAGTTGGTTCTATTATTTTTTGGCAACTATTTGTAGTGTTTTTGAAATGTCCCTTTAGAGTTTGTCTTTGTAGTGTAGTGCAGTGAATCAAACAAGAGAAGCTTTTGTTTTTTTTTTTTTTTAATAATTAAAGAGTTTATTACTAAAATTTGTTTCTTTATAGAAATTGTAATCATAGCATGATATTTTAAAAATAAAATTAATTTAGTTAAAATCCCACATTAAATAAAATAATATAAAGTTAATAAACTCTTATACAAGTGTGAATTGTAGCAAGTTTAATTTTCGAAATGATAAAATTCAGAATAATATTATAAAAAATTTATTTTGTTGTCCTATTTAAAAATAGATCATTTTTTTATTTGGAAGATTAATGTATTCTACCAATATTATCTCCAAGTAGAAGATTTTAATTTTTTATATCTATATTTTTTATTCCTATGAAAATATTATTATGTGCTCAATTTATATTTTTTATTAATGAATTATTTAAAAAAAATTAATAGTTAGTCCAAAACCAAATAAGTTTAAATGATATTTTTATAGTTTGAATGAATAACGATTGGAATTGTGTATGATTAATTATACTTTTATTGATAAATAAGGAAAAAAAAAACTAAAAAAAAAAATAAAAATAACATGTTTGTTTAATGCTGACCGTCCGATGAGTAGAATATATGCATGACATTTTAATGAGTACTGCTGTTCCTTTCAATTTTCATCATCAAATTATTTTGTTTTTATTTATTGGGACGTACAATAGGTCCAATCAAATTATTTTATTTATTTTAAATTTTCCATAAAGTATTATATACATTGTATATAATTATAAATTTGTACTAAAGTGATCAGCCAAAATTAACAATTAGAAAAAAATTCAAATTATATAATTATAAATTTATTAAAAGACTGTTCGGTCCAAGAAATGCAATATAAATTCAATTTTCGTAGAAGTTGTTTTCATAATTTTTGAAGGAGGCAAAATTCAAATTTAAGATGGTTTATTTATTTATTTATTTTAGTTACAGAAAAGGAGACTATAGGACAGAAACATGGTAATGGTGGTTAGAGAAAAGAGAGCTGTTGGGTCAACCACCTCTTTTTTTTTTTTTTTTTAACAAAGTGTATTATTTTAGTTACAAGAAAGGAAGACTATAGGACAGAAACATAGGTAATGGGTGGGTTAGAGAAAAAGAGAGCTCGTTGGGTCTAACCACCTCTTTTTTTTTTTTTTTTTAAACAGAGAAGGATACTGCAATGGGAGTGGTTGTGGAGGAGGGAGTTTGTAAGAATTTTTTTTTTTTTTTTTTTAACAGAGAAAGGATATGCATTGGGAGTGGTGTGGAGAGGGAGTTTTGAGGAAGAACAGATAGATCCAAAGAAATTAATGCACTATTTCTAACCCTGTCAGTTGCAGATTCTCCATTTTTTTTTCTTTGTAAAAAATATTTTTAGTCAAGTCCAATATGTACTCCTAGTTCCCAAAACCACATGTATTTATAGACTTTATTTTAAAAAATATATTTATTTTTAGACTTATAAATTTAAATTTTATTTTTATTCTTTTAATGAATAATTTTTATGGATTACTGTTCAATAGATGTGTTCAAATCATAGATGGTCTCTAATTAAATGTAGGGAACCAACGTTGGATTTAAAGATAACAAAAGTATCTAAAATGACAAAAGTTTAATTACGTAATATATAAATTCACCTATGAACTTTGCGATTTTAACTTTGTGGAATCTTAAACTTTGCAATGACTTATTTTTGCATCTCAATTTGTAAATTTTGGTAATTTTATACACATTTTGACATTAATATCAAAAATTTTGAGGGTTTTTGATTTTATTTGCAAAATATTGACTTGATACGTAGTTAACATGACTTTTAGAATAACAATTTTCATAAATTTAACTTTTTAATGAGTGCTTAATTGATTTAATTTTGCAAGTTAAAGTGTTCAATAAAAAAATTTGAAAATTATTAAATATTTAATAAATATAATTTTATAAGTTGAAGTATTTAACGAGTCAAACTGAAAATTGAGAATGCTACAAAGTCATCCGATAAAGTTTAACAAAAATCAAAATGACCACAACAATAAATTAAGGTTTCCAATATATAAAAATCAACACCAAATATTTGGTATTTGCATGACAATTGACTGTGACATTACAAACTAAACAAACACGGCATAAAACTTGATTTCTACACATGTCCACACAAGATATTTTTCATTTACACATACTTCACTTCCAGCGTGGCATGCAAAACCACCAACCGAATCAAACTAATCGATTTCAATTTGATTATATCAATTACTCAAAGTTATTTAAATTGTCGTTTTATTTAGTTTGGATGGCATTTATTGTCAATTTGAGTCGGTCACATAGAAATTCATCAATTTGGCTTAAAATCAAACCAATATAGCAAAAATTGATCACAGCCAGCCGAACTGATTGATTTGATTTGATTCAAATGCCAATTTTGATTTGGTCTATTATCCAAAAATTCGAATTGCATTTTTGGTCTTGGTTCTATTTAGTTTAAATCCAACCTACCATTCGCTCACCCCTACTTGCCATTATATTTCCCTCTCTTCATCAGCTCCAAAATCTGACAGGAAAATGCCAAATGCATCTCACAAGCTTTGCGAAACCCTAAAAAAAAGGAATTAATTTTAATTAATTGATCAATTCAATTCCTGCACTGGGTAGTGGAGACCATCTCTCTCTCTCTCCCCCCCTCTTTGTTAGGTCACTCTCCATCCTCTTTGCCATTGTATATGGGAAACCCTACATTGTCTTGGTTCCAGAATTTTTTATCTAAATAAAACAACTCTTCTGTTTTTGTAGTAAAAAGTAAAACAAAAAAAAGGGTTATTATATTATTTTTACTCAATTTCCTTTTGGCTATGCAGTGAAGCAATCATGTGACTTGGCCTTTTTGACTTGAGCTAACCTATCTGTTTTATTTATATATGCTCTATTTGTTTTAATAATATAATTTGGGATTAAAAATTAAGAAATCTTAGTTCATTTCATCAATACTCATTCAATTCAATTGTGAAAAAGAAAATCAATTTATTAATTCTCAAAGATTTATTTTTGATTAATCCTCAAAAAAAAAAAAAAAGAAAGATTTATTTTTGATTAAAATTCAAAGTCATGAACCTAGAGTACAAAGAGAGCATAGATTGAGAATTATATTCTGCTAGGCACTAACCACTCCAATTTATTTTTTTTAAAAGAAAAAAGGAAAGGACATTAAATATTATAGGTACTTGTCTAATTCTCCCAAAGAAGATTCCAGCCAAAAGGCATTTGCCTTATGGTTGATGATAGATACAAGACCTTTAAAGGAGAGAAATTGCCATTGAAGAAGTGGGGTTTAGGTTCAGGGGTTCTCAGTTCTATGTCAATTGAATATATGTTTTTGTAGTTTGAATATGAGAAGATAAATACTTAATTTCTCCCTATTGCTATCTCTGTTCTGTTCTGTTAAACTTAGACGACACTTTTAAAAATCAAAGTAGTATTACTTATTTTATTTCAATTATCTGCATTAAATTTTATCATAATCAAATGAACATCTGTTAAAGGGTTCTTAATTTTTTTTTAGAATTGAAGTAATTGAATAAGCTAAACTGTCAAAATTTAATACAAGGAGGAGTACTTCACTGACATTTAATACAATTTAAGTGAAAATATAGTTGATAAAGGAAAAATAAAAAATAAAAATGGGGAAGAAGGTGGTGGTTTTACTTTTTGAGAATTCAAGTAAGAAGCTTTAAAGGGAGTAGAGAGGTTGGTGGCAATGACAAAAGTGAAACCAATCAACACTGAGGCACTGGCCTGCCTGTGCGACACATGATTTGGCCAGGGAAAAAGGTGACGCTAGAAACAAGAAAAAAGTAAAAGAGAGGTTGCAATGTAATAATAGGCATGAAAAGAAAACCAGACTCCCCTTCCTCTCTCTTTCTCACTCTTACAGTCAGATCTTTGTTTGCCCAAGTAAAAAGCTTTTTGCTTGCATAGAAACAAATAGAAGAAAACCCAAATCCAAAATCAAGCTAACCCCTTTTTTTTGCATTTCTTTTATCCTTCTTCTCCCAGCCTGAGGCTATGATTGAGTGAACCAGACAAAGTTTTCCTCACTGTCCATTTCTCTTCACCAGCCAACACGCCATATCAGGCATAGCTTAACCCATCTGATCCTTTTTGGTGCCTTTTCTCTTTCCCATCTCTCTTTCTTTCTTTCTGATTAGACCCATGAGAATAATGTCTTGGTCGTGTAACCTTTGTTTGGTTTGTAATGCAGTTGAATGGATGGTCTTTTTTTATTTTTTTCTTTTCAAGACAAATGAGGGAAAGTGAAAGAAAATAACTAAAACCTAAGTATTTCTTTTCTGTTCTTCAACTTCTCCTTTTTGTTCTTTTTCCAAACATATATATTTGTCCTGGGTTGTTGCTGCATTTACGCTAAACAATGAGGAAAAATGGATGGCAACTACCTTATCACCCCCTTCAGGTAGTCTTCTTTCATTTATCTTCTTTCCCTTATTTACATAGATATTCTTGTTTTCATTGTCTCTGTTACCTCAAGTTCTGATTTTTGAGTGTTTAAATTTTCCTTGTGAAGGTGGTGGCTGTAGCTGTATTTCTGGCATTGGGGTTTGCTTTTTATGTTTTCTTTGCTCCCTTTGTTGGGAAGAAGATATTTCAATATGTTGTGATGGGAATCTACACTCCTTTGGTAAGCCATTTCACAACTTTCCCTTTAGTTTCTTTACTTGTACTTTAGTAATTTCTCGGTAGGTTCAAGAACTGAGATCTGTGCATCCTGTGCTTCTTGATTCGATTCACTAATATGCCCCCAATTTGTACTTTCTGAGATTTGGTTTTCTTCACCATTTTGTTTGTTGTTTTTATTTTTTGGTACTTAAATTTTTAGATCCTTTCAAGTGTTTGAGCCAGCTGTTATTTTGGTTGATAAGGTCAAATAGATTACTTTCTTTTGGTTAGTGTACCTGCTAATTAATTCTATGCTACATGGATTTAGAATCTGTTACATTAAAGATTAGATTGTCTCACTTGTTTGGAGTAGAGGATATTATCATGGATTTCCCGCTGAATGCTATTAATGCAATATTGGTTTTTGAATTAAGACAGTTTGGAATTTTTGATAAAGCAAATTATTCAGATGATTGCATAATTGCAGCATTTCAAATTCAAGTAGCTTTGGATATCTCTGTTGATTAGATTTTGGTCCAGAAGTTAATGGCCATTGCAATTGACTGCTAATTAGTGTATCCAGTTCTATTATACTGTATTAAATGTCTTTGATGCTTGGTCTTTGTTATATATTTATCATATTTTTCAAATTAATTTCCTTGCCATTGCCAAGTCATTCATCGGACATGAAACTCAATTTCAGCAATCTTGATTTTCTATGGACAAATTCACATATATTTTGCCTTGGTTGCTAGTCTCAAAAGAATATGACCAGTTATAAGTTAGTGAAATATGCAATTTCCCTTGTCAATCTTTGTGTTTACTTTTAGTTGTATTAGAACTCTACTCGGAACTTCAGTAACATCTCTTCTCTTTTCAGATTACATGTGTTTTTGGCCTATATATTTGGTGTGCAGCAGCTGATCCCGCAGATCCAGGAGTTTTTAGGTCCAAAAAGTATCTCAAAATTCCACATGACAAAAAGCATGCCCACCAAAAGGATTCTAAACTTGGTGGGGAGTCAACTTCGTCCATGCATGATGCAAATGCTTCTACTGCCGGGGGTAAATCTTTTGATAAGGGTTCTATAGGTGGAGATTCAACTTTGAAAGATCCAAATACTGATTTTGAGAAGAATTTGACATCACGCTATTCATCTTGCTTCATATGGGCTCTCTTTCCTTGTGCTCTTCTCTGCAATTACTGCAGTTCGAGTGACGAATCTTCATCGCAAGAGATGAGTGAAGATGGCATGTTCTATTGTAGTTTGTGTGAAGTTGAGGTTGGTTAAAGCCTCTGAATTCAGTTTCTTTTTTCTTCTCATTTTCATTTTTTTAATGGTTTGGAGAACATGACTAAGTCGGTAGGTTTTAGAAATGTGACCTGAATATGGTAGCAGTTACAGTTGTTGCAATTTTTAAGTTCTCTCAAGGAGATAACTTTATAGATAAAGCCTTTTATGTGATTTATCTACCAACAAGAGCTATCAAGTTGGCATGCCTCTGGTTTATGTTTTCAAGTTTTATCATCATATCTTTATAATAACAGTTTATAGAAGGTTATGCTTATCAAATTATTATCCTGACCAGGTTTTCAAGTACAGCAAGCACTGCAGAGTTTGTGACAAATGCGTTGATCGTTTCGATCATCATTGCAGGGTACTGAGGATCTTGATTATTGAAAATTTTGACTCTGTTTTAGCTTGTTTTAACATTCATGTATTTTGGTCCCTGATTTTTGCAGTGGCTCAACAATTGTATTGGCAAAAGGAACTACAGAAAGTTTTTCACCCTAATGGTTTCTGCTCTTCTCTTGGTAAGCATAAATCTCCAAACTATGCCTTACCTGGAATCTTCAAATGGTCAAGCCATGGTCATAAACAAAATTACCCCTGCAAATATTGTCATCCTTCCCTGTGCAAGTAACTCAATATCTATTATTATGAAAACCATTCTTTGACCATATATGTAAATTGCCTTGATATCCCACTCAAATATCTCTAGGAAAATCATGATATCAACCCTTTTCCCTAAAACTCATTGCTTGATATGGTGGTCTTCCACTATTCTTTGTACTCAATAGTTTTCCAATAAAATCCCAAGTCCCTGAAATGGTTTTTTTGCATCCTGAGATTGCTGATTTGATTTTCCCAAGTGACACTGGCAGGACTGAAGACCACCCAGAGTAAGACTTTTATTTTCAAGTCATTTTCATTTTAATTGATTATTGACAGGTATATACATGGTTTGTGCACCTTGGGCTTGAGATTGCAGCTTATTCTACAATGGTCTACCGGAATCCTTGTACTTGTATGCTGTTTTCTTGAGCGGAAGCGATTCTCTTCAGACATCTCCTCCAAATTAGGAAGCAGTTTCTCTTTGGTCCCATTTGTTATTGTTGTGGTGAGTATTTATTTATCTAACAATTTAAAGACTTATTTGAATGTATTCAGTATTTCTCTAGAGTAAAGTAATGTAATTTCTATGTACTTACAGGCAGTATGCACCATTTTGGCTATGATTGCCACCCTACCTCTTGCTCAGCTCTTCTTCTTTCATATCCTTCTCATTAAAAAGGTAATGTTGAATAATTTCATCCCACAATGAAAACTTTTTGATTGAAAAAAACTGTATCCTAGTTTCTTGAAGTATGGACTTGCACATAAAATTTTCTTCTGGATAGATGAGTGTTTCTTCTCTTTCTTGTTATCAGTTTTGTAAGTGCTCTTATACATGTGATGTATTTTTTTTATCAAGTTAATATGCCAATGGCTTAATATGGGATTTTTTATAGGGAATAAGCACGTATGATTACATTATAGCTCTAAGGGAGCAGGAGCAAGAGCAACAAGGAGTTGGAGGTCAGCAGAGTCCCCAGATGTCTCCTGCCAGTTCACTTACTGGATTAAGCAGTGCAAGTTCCTTTTCTACTTTCCACCGGGGTGCATGGTGTACGCCACCTCGCCTGTTCCTGGAAGATCAGGTGCTTCTTCACTTAACAATTCTTTTTCTGGTTAAGTTAGCATTATTGCATTTCTGCATACTTGATGAGAAGCAACGTGTTTTTGTATTTTCTCCTATTATGCCTTGGGCATATGTGGGATTTAACTAGGTAACTTCAGTATGTGCAGTTTGGGATGGTTATCAATCTAATCAGTGAACTAGTTGGAACTATGGCGCTAAAAATCAACAAGATTCATTATCCATAGTTCAGCAACGACTATGTTTTTGGTGATCTGGAGGTGCACGTGATCATGTTATTGAGAATCGTAGTGGTTTTTTTTCTTTGTGGAGTTTTGTTGGAGTCACAGCTGTAATGCATCAAGACCAACCTAAAAAAAGAAGGCACTAGTTTGTGTTTTCTTCCTTTTCAGAGCTATGGAAAGCAAAAACTTTTTCTGAAATAAGTGGGAAATTATCATTTTCCTTACGCCTTCTCATGACTTGGAATGGTTCATGGGGTTTTGCTTGTGGATCTTTTAGCATATAAGTGCATTGAAGAGGATATTTAGTCCTGAATCATTTTCTCCATCATAGGTGCAGTGAGATACCATGGCATGGTGAATGCCTATTGTTGGAGCACTATGTCGTAGGCACTATAATTCACTATCTTCAATGGCTGGGAGCGCTGACTGTAACTGAACACTTTATGGTTGCAATGATCATTGAGGAAGTGGTCTATGTTGGACCTAATAGATATATAATTTCAATTTTTCGCTAGTCACAAGAGCCAGTAATTCTAAAAGCATGCTTTGTGTACTTAAAGTGCAAAGAGAGTGCCTAGGGAAAGTGCATTTTTCCTAGACACAGTTTCTGCATAAAGCTTAGCTCTGATATTGAAGTGATAGGTGCCAAGTTAAATACTTAATATTAACCACGAATTAGTCATCCTTGTACACCCTTGATCTGGCAAACTTTTATATACACAAGACTTTCTAATTACTACTTGTATGCCTATGGGTTCTTGAACACCTAAAAGGCTAAAGTACTTTTGCTAGATTTTACTTACATTTTCTAGAGTTATCTGGCTGGAACATTGGAAATTGGATATCATAACCTCGATAGGAACTAGGCTTTTAGCTATGTAATATGATGGTGAATTTTGCACAAGTTGCATATATATTGAATTGTTGATTAATACTACTGTACATAAACTATGGGATTTAGAAAGCGTCTGTAAGATTTACGTGTTTAACCTTCAATTTCACCATATTTTTATCCCCTTTAGCTAATTGGACATTAGATATTCTATTGTATGTTTTTTCATTGTATGCTATGTTTTTTTCTCATGGAAGTAATTTTGCATATGCACACTTTTATTTTTATACATGTTTGTCTTTTCCCCCATGTCTTTTTAAGCAGCTACCTTGGCAGTTCATTAGGATTTGCACTAATAGCAATTCACTGAGATTTTGTCATTTCTATTTCTGTTTTTTGTTTACAGTTTGATGTCGTTCCTCCAGAGACTGCATCTGTCAGTTCATTAGGAAAAAAGACAGTAGCAGAGGAGCAAATCAGGAAAAAGAACCCAGCAGCAATAAAGATTAGTCCATGGACATTGGCCCGGTTAAATGCAGAAGAGGTTTCAAAAGCTGCAGCAGAGGCAAGGAAAAAGTCTCGGATCCTACAGCCTGTGGTGAGACGGGAAGCCCCTTTTGGTCTAGAAGGAGATAGCAGCTTTGGAAGCAGCGGTCGCCGTATGGTCCCCAGGCCAGACAATAATAGAAGGAGAGGTAATAAGAGAGTGCGCCTCCCAGCTGACCTGCCCATAGAGCCCGTAACTAAGGTTTCGGGAATGGCTGCTGAGAAAGGTTTCACTGAGACATCTACTAGTTTGGCCCCTCTTCAGCTTGAGGCAAGAAGTGCTTTCCAAACTAGCCGAGCAATGTCAAGCTCAGTTGGAATTGTTGCTTCTTCTCCAGAAAGCAGTCTAGACTCACCAGATATCCACCCATTCCGAGTTTCTTCATCGGGAGCTGAAGAATCTAGGCGGCTCACAGGTCCATCAGTTGCAGGTACTGCTGCTCACAATGGAATTCCACTATCAAGGTCCACCAGTGATGGATATGAAGCATCTGGTGGTGAAGACAGTGACAGGGTTCCTTCCAGGATTGTTCAAAGGCCGACTAACTGGAGTAACCTCCTCTTCCGACCTGATCAAGATGAGGATGTTTTTAGATTGAAAGCATCATCTTCATCTAGCCAGGCTAACAACAGAAAGCTTTGACTATAAGTCAAATATGATTGAGAAGATTAAGTTCATTTGGATTTCATTGAGGGAAAAGCTCAACATTCATTCATTTTTGGGCCAAAAACATTTCAAGAACTAGTGGACTAACTGGCTAATCAGCTTGCCCATTGCTTTGGCATCTGAGTTTGCAATGTGGAATCAGGCTTCATGGGAAGGACATGACAATGCTGTAAAAAGTTTCAAGTAATTGTTTTTCTGAGCCCCAGACACCCTACGCTTGCATAAGCTTTCGTTGCAGCCTTTGGTCCCTGGCTCTTGCATTAGGGACTCTGCCAAGATGACAAATTTGTTGATGTGTTGTTTATATTATTACTATTCTCAATTGTAATCTCTTTGTTGAGCTTTTGTTAGATATGGATTCTTATGGATGGCTCCTATTGAATATTTTACTTTCATTCCCGAAAAGAACTTGCCCACTTTTGTCCTACGTTGTATTTTCATCATGAGTCGATCTTCAAGTCTTGCAAATTAAAATTAGAATTTGATTACTAATGAGGTGTGTTTCGGTTGCTCTTTTCACTTTTGTGGACAGTAAATCCTCTCAATCACTGCGTATTTATCAATTTGGCGAGTCTAAGTGGAAAGTCGTTCTTTGATGTGCAGTTAAACTCTGTTATTTTTCCATTTGCCTCGTTGGCCTCTGAATGAATCAAAAAATTAGAATTTGGCTGCCAAATTAAAAATCTAAACAATAGTTTTGACACTGAAATGAACCACAAATTGTAGGACATGCACTTGCAATCAAATGAACAATGCTGAGTAATATCAAGAAGTTTCATATTTTTTTGCTTAGCATTCGCAGAACTTATTTTACACATATACACAGAAACAACATATGGGAGACAAAAATAAAGGAAAAATATGAACAACCTAACCTTTGGATTATTTTTTTCAAGTATAAACAACAGAGACAAGATGAGGGACTTTTCCATCATCAAAGGGCAAGCTGACATACTCCCTCGCAAATTCCTCGGCAATCTCCCAAGCAAGCTCCCCATGTATAGCTTTGCAATACATATATAGAACAGTATGTGCTGCTACATTGTAAAGGAGCAAAAGCATAAGCAGAGTTGAAGTTCCCACAATTTGCAGAATAGATCCACAAGTTTTCCATCCTCTGCTAGTGCCAATACCCAGTGTGACTCCTGATACAGAAGTAAGGAATAACAAAATCCCCACCAAAAATCCAAAGAACAATAATAAAGCAAAAGCCACTCCTCTCATTCCCTTTATCAGAAAACTACTCCGCTTCAGTGGTGCAAGGCCCCAACTCGATTCAACAACTGCAATAACAGTTGCTAGAGACCAATTAAGTTGCAAATACACTAAAGTCAATACCAAAACAATTGAAACAATTACAGATAACCCAATAAAATAAGGAGAAGAGAACTGGAGTTCCAATCCCAAAAGCTCAATACCCTTAATCACCAAAAATAAGGAAAACCCAGAAACCAGAGATATCGCAGACACAGCAATTTCGACAAAAAAGACTGTGATTAAAAGAGGAAGGAAAGAAGCGAAAGCTGATTTGATAGCGGATTTAAACTTGACGGGTCTACCATAAAAGCCATGGAGCACGCTGTAGGTGATAGAACCAACAGAAAGAAGAGCGAAAACAGAGACAAAGAGAAAGAAGAGGAGAGAAAGAACTATGTTTTTGGCAATTATAAAATCAGACGGGTCTTGATCAAAGAAGAAAACAGAGCTAGTGAGGAAAATTTTAGAGTTGCTCGTAGAGGATTTTGAAAGAAGGTTTTGAAGAGTCGGGTACACAGTGAGAGAAAAGGAAAGAGGGAGAAGAAAGAGGACAGAGAGAGCGAGAAAATGACGGGAGTGGGCGTTGATGATGCGTTTTGATTCGATTAAGACTGTACAAAGGTCGAGAGTAGGTGGTGCTGCCGCAACCGCCGCCGCTGTTGCCATGGAGGAGTTGGTTGAGAGAAGGTGATCAATTGAGGAGGCTGAGAAAGAAAGAGAGAAGATTCGGAATGAAAAGGCGAATGAGGAGGAAGAAGAAGAAGAAGAGGAAGAAGAAGCAGTTGATGGCGTCACCGCGTCAGTAGTAGATAATGACTTTAGACGGTCTCGACTCTCGAGAGAAATCTATTGGTTGCGAAATTCCGTTTCCTGTTTTTATGATGGGCTTTGTTTTGGGCCTGCAATTCCTTGTTACTATTCTGAATAATTAGGATAATTCTTGTATATACTTGCATGGCCCAATCCATACATCAAGCCATGCTATGTTCGGAAATTGAAAAAATAAAAACATTTCTTTTTAAATTTGTATTTATCGGTTATAAAATTAAAAATTTGCAATATGCTAATGTGAAATATTCCTGTTTTAAAAAATTTCTTCATTCATTTGCAAGTGATAAATGGATTTTTAATAAATTTTAATAAAATTAACTTATTAAGAGTTATTTTTATTATTAAAACTTCTATTAGAAAACTCCAAATATATTAAATAAATAAAAACATCACTTAATATTGTAAGTTTTGGGATTAAAAAATGAAAAATTATAAAAATAAATTACATAATAACTAAAATTAAAACTCAAACGAATCTTTCCTTAGCATATGATAAAATGCAAAATTCTTAAATTCATATTACAAAACACTATATTTGCATTAATATTATATTATATAATTATTGCGTAATTAAAATTAATAAAAGAGAAATATAAAATTCACTTAAAATTATAAGTTTACAACAAAACAACAAAAAATCACAAAATTACATAATAAATAAAATCAAAACCCAAAAAACTGCAATAGTTGAACTTAATATTAGAAAGATAGAAAAGGTAAAAAATAATAAAAAATAATATTCAAGGAAATTACTCCACGTTAGAATAGGAAAACGTTTCCACGCAGTCTACTTTTAAAACTATTTCCAAACAGGGCCTTAAGCAATTAACCTCAAGTAAGTTTTTATTCCTGTCATTTGTTTTGCAAAATCTTTAGTCATTGCCACAAGTGAAACTGTAGCTCAAATTCAATGGCAAATTCTTCAACGCGGACACCGTAAATTATATAAAATCGCCAAATCTCATACAAAAACACCACCAATCTATTCACGCCAAGAATCCACCCACGCTTCACCTTCAAAAACCTCAACAACATAGTACATTTTATTCTCAAATCTTTTGCTTTTCAATTCCAACACCAATCATTTGGTTCCAGTTCTTTTTCTTGAAAACTTGCAGCACCAAACCCATTTTGTCACCAGGTGTTTCTTCTTTTCTTTTCGTTTACTTAATTTTCAGATCTGATTCTATCATTTTGCCTGTTGATGGGCTATCTGCGATTTTCATTTTCAGTTACACAGTTTTAGTTTTAATTCAAATCTGATTTTGCAAAGAAATTGATAAAATGGAAGTGTCTGGTGGGATTTCTCCTGGAGGGAATTTGGATTTGGATTTGGATCGGATACAAAAGGGGGAAACTGAGGATACCCAATTAAAGAATTTTGAGTTGGAATTGGCTGAAAATGATAATAGGCATAATCACCAGTTCCGTTCAATGAATGCATTAGAGATCTTAAGAGAAACGGTGAGGATTCTTCGATTCAATTCCTCTTCATTTATGATTATTGCTGCCTTGCTTATTTGTCCAGTTTCTGCCATTGTTTTATCAAATGTATTTGTTGATCAGTCTGTAGTGAAAAGACTGACTATTAGGCTTATGTTGGTTGCAAAACATAGTGGACTCCCATTGAGGCCTTTTCTCAAACAGTCTAGTTACCGTTTCTCCGAAATGGTTGTTTCTTCAGCAATGTGCTTCCCTTTGTTCTTCACATTGTCTCTGTTATCCAAAGCTGCAGTAGTTTACTCTGTTGATTGCACTTATGCCAAGAAAAAAGTACAGTTTTCCAAGTTTTACGTGATAATGAGAAAAATTTGGAGAAAGGTTGTTTCGACGTACTTGTGGGCTTGTATGATGATAGTTGGTTGTGTTACACTATTCTGTGTTCTTCTCTTAGCTATCTGTAGTTCCCTTTTTGTAATTGGGTTTTTGCCTGAGTTAAATTTGTATGCTGCAATGATGGTGGGGCTAGTGTTCTCTGTGGTTTTTGCCAATGCAATTATTATTTGCAATGTTGGCATCGTGATATCTGTATTGGAGGATGTTTCAGGGCCGCAGGCTTTGCTTCATTCCAGTATTTTGATTAGGGGACAGACGCAAGTTGGTCTCCTTATATATCTCGGGTCGACAATTGGTATGGCTTTTGTGGAAGGGTTGTTTGAGCATAGAGTTAAGACATTGAGTTATGGAGATGGATCTTCAAGGATTTGGGAAGGTCCACTTCTGGTGATTATGTATTCATTTGTGGTGCTTATTGATACGATGATGAGTGCAGTTTTCTACTTCAGTTGTAGATCCTATAGGCTGGAAAACTCTGATGCTGAGTCTCAGTCAATTTTAGAAACAATCACTATTTCTTCTGATTCTATGGATACTCAATGACATGCCCTTGTAAATTGATTATTGTGCTAAAGCTTTCTTGAATTTTTGATGGGATGGGAGCTGCAATGAGAAAGCTGGCATTTGTTGCTAGTTGCATCATCTTACTATTGACGAGCGCATTTATGAAACTCCATTAGCCATTTGCCGTCAGTGGCCTATGGATGTTTATAACATCAGGTTACTATCCGGTCTTTAATGGAAATGCCAAAAAATGCGAAAGGTCATATTTCTAGGATATGCAGAAGAAGAAATGAAAAGGAGAAGATATATGATGTTTGATAGAATTCATTTAAATGGCAGTATTCCTTAAAGGTAAACTTTAAACGTTAAAAGTTACTTTTGTATTGTTATCAAGGGAAGTTCAGTTCCCCCAGCTTTTTATACTTTTGTCCTTTTAATAGCGTCCAATGTCTTTGGAATAATGTAGTAAAAAATAGGTTGTTGGGATGTAAGTAGTGCTAGGCATGATACATTGTATTAAGAGATATCGACAATAAGTCCATAAAAATTCTTTGCATTAATGTGTAAATTGAAATTTGCTTAATTGTATCACCAGATTTACGCTGTCTATCTTGTATTCCAGAAACGGACATGTTATTTTGTCTTGAATGGATATTAAAATTTATCAGATGTGTTATCCCAAGAACATTGTTATTCAGGAATTGTTGGAAATGTACTGTAGATTGAACTCATCTAGTTTTTCAACTGAATAATCATCTAAATTATTAACTTGGAATTTAAATTTCCATTGGTATGCAACCTGGGATTCTTGTTTAATTTGAGATGTAGGTAAGTCTGTGGAAGCATTACTGGTTTTGCAATTTGTCTAGACTTGTAGCGCCCTGGAGCATTGATATGGGCAGGTATAAACCTTTTATACTGACCAGAAATGTATTTGATTATATTGATTCTTGCTGTATTTTCACCTGTGATACATTTTCAAGAAAGCATGTAGGCAAACAGGAGAATGTTCGCTGTTGTGTTTGTGTAGCATCCTCAAAGGCATTCCTTGACAAGAAATGTTTTCAACTCAATAGAAATCAAGTAGTTGTTTATTTTCATTCATGTCTTCTTTCTTTTTCCTCTTCTTGCCGACTTCCAAAAGAACTTTGCATGATCTTTGCTGAAGATAAAGCTGAATGCAGCCAGACAATGCTGTAAGGGTGATGCAACTATCTCCTTCAAGGCAAGGCAAATTTACAACAGAGTCTTGTGACTATTTGTTAGACATTCAATCAGTAGTATTGGGTCTCTGAACTGCAGAAAAAAGTTCAAAATAAAAAAAGAAAATTAACTGGGAAAATTCTCTGGGCAACAGCCTAAATACAAACCCTTTTGTAGTATGATCTGGTTTTAGGTGGCGCTCTTTTGATTTCCATTAGCCAGGAGAAAGCACTCTGAATATATTTATTTCCATAAAACATACAGATATTTGTTTAAACACCACTCTGCAGGTTCAAAAGCAAAGACTATGCTTCTGGCTTGGTAAGAGTGAAGTACCATTAGTCGTTTGTTCTGAAATGTTGGAAGCTATACTGTAATATTGATTTGTTCTTGTTGAGTACAGGTCAGAACACCTCCTTTTTAGTTTGATCAAGGGAGAGCAAGAAGGTCCTGGCTGGATTGTCTTCGTCAATAGTTTTCTGTTTCGTTTCAGTTGCAGTTGCAGGTACTGCGTCCTTCACTTCCCAGGCCCCTTCTGTCATTAATACAGAATTATAGATTTATGCTCTTTGATGTCTTTGATCTTTGCTTTCACTTGCTACTGGTTTAACTCGATTTGGGGATTCGCTGGAGCCCAACTGCCATGACTGATTTCTCTAGTGCTTATGTATTCTGGCAAGTTGCACTGGACAAACACACAGCCATTAGTTTCACATTAAACCATTATTGCTATTGACGTCCGTTCTATCACCAGATGAAATCAATGACACATCAACCGATAGTGTCATTCACTTAAATTTCTTGATTATTTGGTAAGGGGTGAGCACGACAAATTGATGCTATTTGGTTCGGTTTCATTTGATTCTTCAGCAAAATCAGTTTGTTTTGGTTAATTTTGAGTAGTTTTTCTTCATATGAAATCAAATATATTGAAATAACCAAATTACAAAACTGGAAAATCAAACCAAAAGGATTCTATTTCGGTTGGTTTAGTTTGATTTTAGCTAAAAGAAAATAATTTTGAAAGTTATTTTGGTTCAATTTGATTATCTATGAATAAAACTAAAATATTTTAGTTTTATTGATTTGGTTATTCATACATGTAATCTATTCAGTTCGATTATCCAATAATGGGATTTTTTTTTCAATAAACGATTACTATATCTTAATATTCAGTTTTTTTAATTATATTTTAATTTTCAGTTATTTCAATTAAAGTTGGTTGGACTAGAGTGAAATGAACGCTAATTCCTGTAATAATAGATTTAATTATATCTTAATTAAAACTCTCATTCTCTTAACTTCGAAAAATAATTATGCCATCCTTAAGTTTTATATTTTCGTCTCAAAGACAGTGTTTTTAGAAAAAAAAGCACTTTATCATCAATTCAAAAGAATATATTATTCAAAAAAGAAAGCTATCACTGCATCGTAACTTTGTAGTCCGTCGTATTATTTAGATCCATTTAACTTTTTTGAATATGATCATTTAAAGTAAAATATAATATATATACGTGGATATCCAAATAATATCTTATTACCTTTGTTCCAGAAAATTGTTTGTTTTAAAATATGTATTAAATTTATGATTTCAATGAGTAATAAATATTTTTTTTATATATATTTATCTTTGTACACGACCAATAATTATTACTTCAATTTAATAGTTTTTTTTAAAATTAATATTAAATTAAAGATAATCTATTTAATTTATTTAATAATTTAGATAAATTTAAAATTTTTTTTAAAGAAAGTCAAATTTCAACGACAATATTATGGACAGAGATAATAAGTTATACTTTCGCCCAAAAAATAACTATAACATTTTCTGCTATCTGCATTTTATTTGAAAATCTCATAGTTATTTTGGAAACTGAAGGGAGGAAAGCGTGTGTTAGGACATAATTAGGAATCACTTCAAACAACTGTTTGGTCGTGGAACGACGGCGTGCAGAAAGATTTACACAAAAGGAGAGTTTTTTTTTTTTTTTGGGGACAAAAAGAGAGTTTTTCCTTTATTCGCAGACGACGTAAAATTTTTTGCTATTGAAGCTATCTTCGGCCATTCATTTGCCCATTTCCCGCTTAAATCTCATCCCAAAACCCTAAAATCCCAATAAGCAACAATTCGTGACACTATCATCTATCTTCTCGCTTTTCGTCTTCGATTAACTTTTGCCTTTTTTTTTTTTTTTTTTTTTAACTCTCGCTTTTGGTCTTTCGATTAACTTTTGCCTTTTTTTTTTTTTTTTTTTTTGGTTTAAAACGCCCCGTTTGAACATAAATTCAAGAGTAAATTAAAAAATATTCTTCAATCTTCTTTCTCTGCTTTTCAAACTCTGCTTACGCAGTCTTTCCGTTTACTGGTTATTACAGTTATTAATGGCTTCTGGTCTTTTTGCCTTTTTTTTTTTTTTTTTTTGGTTTAACGCTCCCGTTTGAACATAAATTCAAGAAGTATTAAAATATTCCTTCATCTTCTTCTCTCTTTTCAACTCTGCTTACGCAGTCTTTCCGTTTACTGGTTATTACAGTTACAGGCTTCTGGTCTTCTCGCTCAGCAGTTTTGCGGTTCTGAGAAAGAACAAAACTGAATTGAGTTAATTTTCGCACCCTTTTTCTTTCCGAGTAATTAGTTTGTTTGTGTAGTTATGATGCTCGAGAAAATGCCTAAGCGAATTGAACATTTTTTTCTCGTCTCTCTTTAATTAGGGACTGATAATGGAAAACTACCGTCAGGAAAAAGTACAGAAGTTTGAGGAATTTGTTGATCGCCGTTTGAAACCGGATCTTGTTCGGGCTATTGCGGAACGGTATAACATTCTCGTTTTCTTGCATTTTTTCGCCTTTTTTTTCCCTTTAAATCTTCTCTAAGCATTTCTACAATTTTAACATCCATCCTATTTTGCATAATTAAAAATGAAGAATATCAGAAAATTGTCTCACTGATTGAGGAAGCATATTTAGTTAGCGTTTTGCAAATTGATTAGCCTAAACTTATTGTATCATTTAACGTTTAGTAGAAAATTCTCCTAGAGTTAGTACAATAGCAATATTGATAAACTTGAGTGAGAATGACCGTCTGAAGAAGCTAAAGAATCTGTATAGCTAGCAGGATCTTATTTGTTTGATTCGTTCGAGAGCTGATGAGTAAGAAAGGGAAATTAAATTTCAATCAAAGGTAATAATACCTCTTGATTGCTTTTATTTTCTTGTTTTGCAGGGATAAAGTCTTTGAACAACAAAAGATTTTGTATCCTTTTCCTATTGATTATTTATGGAGATTAACTAGTGCAATTAGCATTTTCTTTGACTCTTAAATCTTGTCCTTTGCATAAGGGGAGAATTTCATCGTTTGCACAATGTTCCACTTTGAAGAATGCTTCTGATTAACTTTTTTACGGTAAAAGGAATATTCTGATCAATGGCTTTGTTTCATAGCATTTCAATTCCGTTTTGGCATGCTAAAGTTGCTCTTTCTGATCGAAAGGTTGTTGGTTCAAATATTGGAAAATGCTTTTGTGCAATATAGTGGGAAGACATTATAGAATAGAAGATCCTTCCCTAGCTGTCATGAAGCAGGGAGCTTGTGCAATGGGAAAATCCTAATTTGGCATGGGTAAATAAGTTCCTTAAAACCAATGAAAGATACAGAATTTAAGGCACTGACTTTTACGCGGAGAAACTGTGATTTCTTGAATGTTTTTCTTTTTCTTTCTTCATGTCTTCCTTTCTTTTATTTTTCAAATTTTCAGATGTCAGGTATTTTCCTTTCATTTGCTCTTCTTGTGATTTGAACTGAGATACAGCCTATAATTCAAAATTTTGCAAGACACTTGGTAATCCTTCCTTGCATCAGCGTCTACTTGACTTTGTATTTTCAGCTCAGATTTGCGAAACAACATAGAGAATTTGGAGAAAAATAGTGTAACCAGTCTTAGGACATTGGTTAACCTTGGATCTGAAGTATACATGCAAGCAGATGTGTAAGTTCTGTTTCCTTGAAATACTTTATTTTCTTGCACCGTATTAATTGATCACATACCTAGGGTGCAATGTGGGAAGGGTGTTTTTGGATTATGAATATTTTTTCTTTTGTATGTTATAGACCAGATACACAACACATATTTGTGGATATTGGATTAGGATTCCATGTCGAGTTTACTTGGTCTGAAGCATTAAAATACATATCACTAAGAGAGGAGAAGATAGCCAGGTATGCAATTTCTATTTTGGTTAATCAAAATGTTTTTGTGAATTCTTTTTCAACACATGCATCCTCTATGAAGAGGTAGCATATATGTAGACCCAAACAATAGGAACATGACTTGGAGGCATTTTAGATGTTAATAGTTAATACTGAGTACCAAGAATACCTGTATTATATTCACTTGAAATATCTTGTCTATGAGACCATATGTAAAGTCTTCATTACTAACTATTGCGTTTGGTTGGTGCTGTTCATTATGCCAAAAGGTAACTGAAAATGCTTAGAAGTCATGCCAAAACCTCATGTGATTATCTAATTCCGATAAATCCCAAATTTGTATCGTGGTTATATAAGATGACTTGGAAAAAAAAGTTTTGCATGTTGTAAAAGAATAGTTGTTTTGGATAAATGTGTTTTCCAAAAAGGCTAATGGTGATAGCTGAGCAACTGCAGACTCACATTAAATCTACATGCTTGAGAAAGACAACTAGACATAACTCAATGCTAACTAAATGAGAAAGAGAATGAGTAGCCAAGCTTAAGTATAGACACTCTGTGAAAAGGGGGAAGAAAAAGAGAGCAATACAAGTCTCCAGATGTTGCAGGACAACAAGAAGCATCCTAAACTGATGAATCTGCCAGAATATATAACTGGTAGCTAAGATCAAATATAAACTTCAACTTGTGGAAATTGGTGTATTTGGCATTCTTAACACTTACCTCTATGCTGGTTTAACAAAATACTTGCGCTACTCCATTAGTGGTTAATCATTCTCTTTGATTTGGAAGCCTCATTGTCACTTCCAAAAGATGGTTTGTCATGAGAAAATTTTTCTTAATCACAAGAATCATTTAATATCTTTTTCTGAGTATGTATAGTAGGTGTGTGCCTGTGACGCCAAAGGTGACACATATAATTGATTATGTGAACCAAACCTGCATCTTTCCCTTATGTTTCTTCTCTTTATGGTGTATCTTCTGTCTTGACATAATTTGGTTCTTCTTTGGCATTCAAGTTTTTCTATATTTGGACCCTAATAAATCTCCGAATTGCATTTGCAGGCAAATAGAAGAGTACACTCACCAAATTGCATCAATTAAAGCTCAGATAAAGATGGTATATATTTATACTTGGAGTTTTATTTTATTCTTTTTTCCCCCTCTTCACTCTCTTCCTCTCATTCCTGCCATCCACACATGCCAAACTCCCTTCTTTGACAGCATATTTGTGTTTGACATGCCAAATCTACTTTCAGTTCAGTCTGTGTTGTCTTCCTCTAACAAAGAGGGTTGCTTGGTTACTGGGATTCTACTCAGATTAAGGTGTAGGAAACAAAGTTATATTTGCTATACAATTAAAAAAAAAACAACTGAATCAAAGGCATATTTTTTTGGTGAATTTTTCAATATGAAAGCAGATGACAATCCTTAGCTTCTTTCTTCTGACCCATATAAAGAAGCATATGTTGTTACCTTCTGGGATTCTGAGTTATAACAACAATCTATTGCACGCAGGTTTACGAAGGAATTCGAGAGTTACTCCAGTTTCCAGCTGAGAAATCTTTACCGGGACCCACTTTTTAACATTTACAATTTAATTGTATGCTGTAATTCCCTCCCTCGAGTGCAAGGTCTGCATTTCCTGTAGGAAGAGATGGCTGAGAGAGTAAAATCAAAGACTTGATGTAGTAAACAATATAATTGCTTATATGCATCTCTGTTCTCTTTGACATCTGGATAGTCTCAATTTGATTGAATATGGCCTTATGAACACGTAGCGTTCAAATTCTTTCTTTTATCTAACAGCAGGACTAAGCAAAACATCTTTCTCTCGTCCAAACCCATATTTTTTGGGGTGGCAAATATACTGGAGGCCCAAGGTATGAAATTTCATCAAGTTTTGGTTGAGTAGTTAAAATTGTGCGTACCATTTTTAAGGCCCAATTGGAGTTGGTAAAGCTCAATCTATAAGGACAAGTTTTTATTAACAGTCTCAAAAATATTTCTATTTTGCAGCTCAGCCAAGTGGACTGGAGGACACAAAGCTATGCCTAGAGGAGGCAAATATAGCATCTTTGTTGAAGTGAAAGCTCAAAGAAAGGTAATCTAATCATGATGCTCTTTCTACTTCATATTTCCATATATAAATATATTTTCTATTTTAGACGATTCCACCTGAACACTGAACTAATGAAATGAAATTGGGTTTTATTTGTTTTAAAAAAATAGAAAACAATATAATTAAATAAAAAAATAAGGCTCAAGTCACCTGATGTAACTTGGATTGGACAGCACGTAAAACAGATACATTCACACTGATAAATACACCCATGACAAAAGTATGTATCAGCTAGTGGTCCTAATCACAGTATTAGTAGTAGAGTGAGCAGCAGGTCCACCAGAATAATTGTAACCGTCCGATCAAATTTTGAATGAAGAGAAAAGCCTGACTTTGACAAGTATACAACAGGATGGGATTGAGATTTGATAGAATGAAAATTGATGGGACCATTTTGATGCAACAAAATAATCACGTCTTGTTTGATCGGTTATCTTGTTCGGCTATATAAATATTGCATATACGGCTGTCTCCTGATATAACGGGCCATGACAATGGCATAACACTATTCCATCACCGACAGAGGGAATCGACGTTTTATGAACTCACTGATTTCGTTACTCGTTAGGATTCTTTGTACGATGTTTGTGTCAATTCTACAATTCTTTATAAATTGTATTTACCCCCTTTTTTTTTTTGTTTTTATAATATAAATTTATTATTACTAATTACCGTGTGGGTATGGGGGGCTAAGTATATCTACTACCTTGGTTTGGAGATCGAAGGAGTGAATCGTAAAATAATATTTCCTACGAATGTTTAACTAATAACTGATACAACAGTTGAAAGTTATTGCAGACCGTTGACACATCTGAATATTTTTACTGTTGGCCATTAAAAAAGAAAGACAAACAAATAAATAGCCATATCCTTATAGCAATATTTGCATAAATTTAAGGGCAAAAATGAAAGCCAATTACGTCAAAATCATTGTTAGTGAAAATGGCTTCTGTTTTAGTACATTTATATTATACGTGTAAGTACAATTTTATATGAGTTAATTCTTTTAGTAAAATAAAAGCAAAATTATTATTGTAAAAATTGATTATGTTATTGTATAAAAATATTTAATAATTTAAAATAGTATAACTTTGCTAAAATCTAAAAAAGTTACAAGGTTAATTAACATCAAGTTAAATTAATCTACTTATTCTTAGATGTATAATATTATAATTATGTAAATTCCAGTATTTATAATTTTATAGAAAATATTAAAAGTGTATTAAATTATGAAGTAATTTGTATTAATTAAATATTTAATGAAATTAAATAAGAAAAATAAAATTGTAGTAGTTAGGAAATCATTTATAAATTAGGAAGTTCGTATATAATATTTATATTTAATTATTTAAAAATTTACTATTAATTCTTTTGTAAATATAAATTATAGCAAGACCTAAAAATGTTTTTCTACATTTGTGAGTGATAACAACACGAGTTGTTTTTTTATTCACCAAATTAGTAAAAATTGTTGTGCTTGAGAGGATTTGAATATGAGACTTCATACTTTTTACATAAGTAAACAAACCAATTAAATTATACTTGGTTGAAAAATTATTTTACCCTCTGTAATACTTGGGTTGAAATGCTAAGAAGGAAAAAGGAAAATATGGAGAATAAAATGATTTTTCTTCTCTTATTTGGATATAAGAGAGAAAGGAAAGCGAAAAAGGAAATAATTGACAATGGGACTAAACTTTTTATTTCAGTGAGTAAAAAACTCTTTGAAATTTATTTTAATTTTTTTCTGAAAAAAATCTCAGTAATGGATCTAAAGTTTATATTAAACAAGGGGTTTATAAACTAGAGTTTTAAAGTCAAAATTTAACAAATTACTTAGATTTTGACAATTCATATAGTTATTTCGGTTACATTTCTCCCTTGGGAAAATGAAAATGAAAAATGAAATACTAATACTATGAAGCAACACGTGTGAAGGGAGTACAGTATGGGGCATATAAACCCTACAAAACGGTAGGGTTTTCTGTCGAAGCCCACGTTCAGTTCTGAGTTACTACTTTACTAGTGTCCCTTCCCATTACTCCAAAAAAATAATAATAAAAAAAAGGAAAATTGTCGCAGTAACAGTGCAGATGCAAACAACAGAAAGGGGAGAGAGAGAGAGAGAGAGAGAAGTGAAGAGACAAAAGGGCAAATCGAAAGTCAGAGTACGCAAATGGGTTTTATTATCTTTTAGGCTTTTATTTTGTTCTTTTCCTCTTTATTACTTATTGTACATATTCTCTTCCATTCATTTGGGCTTTGGCTTGGTTAATGTTTATAATTGGAATTGCATCTGCATTGCATGTACCTAATTTGAATTTTTACTACTTTGCCATGACCTTTTATATTTCTTTCCTTTCTTTCTTTCTTTCGTTCTTTTCTTCTGTCCCATTCTTTATATGCTGACGGATGCATGGGAAATGGCCATAATATATATTACTGACACAGACATTAATCGTATATATTTCTTTTTATTCTCCCTTCTTTTTACAGTTCACAGTTCACACTCATGTCAAATCTCCTCTTAAAGTGGCTCTGTCCAATTGATTCGAATCAGAATCAGACCACTCAAAATTGGCTCCAACCTAAATCGTGAGTTATCAGAATCAGGTTGGGTAAAAAACTTAGGCTCAACCACTAATTTTTAAAAATTAAAGCCATTAAATTTCTAAGTCATTTGAAAATACAATTGTCTCATAATTTACACCCACTTTTTTTTTTTTCAAAATTTTTATTTTTTAGGATACCGTACAAAGATGTAAATTAATGTGTAAAATCTTTAATTTTTATCGTTGAGAAAGTAATAAAATCTAGAAAAATTTTATTTAGTAATTTTGAGTTATATTTAAATTATCTTGAGTGAACTTATATTCCAATTGAAATTTACAAATTATACTCATTTATAAAAAAATATATCTAAAATGTTATAAAGTCTTGAGACTATACTAGGCTCACAAGCTTCTCAAATACCTTGGCTCATTGACATATCATCTAAGGCAGAAAATGTTCATAGGCGTGCGTGGATTATTATGAATTAGACCATGTTATGTACTATGTAGGGTGGAATACCTGAAGAAGGTGAGATAAAGTGGTAGGAAAATGAAGCAAGAAATTATTTATTAGGCAGGACAAGCTACATTTAACTAATTACAAAAGAACTGGAAATCTTCTTTCATGTTAACTAAATGAGATGAGAAGGTTCACAATAATATATCTTTTGCATGATCATCCAAGTATAGCAACTCAATCCTGGACTTGCCTACCTACAACGTCTATGAAAGCAAAAGTGCATGATAAGGCCTATATACCATAATGGAACTACGTCTGTGCCAAATATATAATTGAGGAATTACCATATCCATATGCAAGAAAAATCAGCAATAGAACATAAGATTCTTTATATTCTCACTTAGCTTTGGTAAAGGTGTTGCCTTTGGAGGGGCAGCTCTTGACATTGTAGAAGCATTTCTAACGGATGCCATGAATTCTGATCGCTCAAGGTAAAGTCTGCCTCTGTATGCAGCTAAATGAGCATAATAAGCAGGAGGCACCAGAGAAACTGGCTTAGTACACCTTACGAAGGTATAGCAAAGGTTGTAAACCAACCTTTGTAATTCATCAGAAGTGAATTGGTTCTCATCCCACAAGACATGGTAATGAGTTGGCCTGCTTGTTCCTTTCACTCCCCAATGACTGCATAGATAAAAATCAAATTCTTTTGGATGAGTAATCACTGTATCCACAACTGTCCCTGGTGGAATATTTTCGTCGTTAAACTGGCTTTGAGTTGAAGGTAGATCAGTTTCGCAAGGAAACAACCTTGTGTGATGCCTCTTTTGGACTACTGCAAATGTAATGAGAGGTCTATAACCAGGAAATCTTGAACAAGCTTCTCTAATTGCTTGCAACTCCTCTTTAAGCACCTTATAAAATTGTGTTTCGCTTACTCCATCTCTAAAGAATATTATCCTCTTAGGAAGTTTGCTTACTTCTTGGTAAAATTCATCGAGCAATTCCTTCACCATTGCACCAAGGTCTTGGATTATTTCTTGTCGATGTGTTTGTGACCTCATTCGGGATGCATACTTGTTTGCTGCAGGCCAGTTCATGCTACCAACAGCAGCAGCAACAGATGGACTGAAATCGTCAAGTGGGTGAGGATGAGTGACATCAGCTCCCATAAAGATTACAGGTTCATCGGAGCAAAGAAGGCGTGGAATTTGAGATGGTAATGAATTGTATAAAGCAACTGTGCATCCTCCAACTTTGGCGTTGATCTTAAGAGCCAAATTAGCAAGAAATTGTGAACTCAATTTGCTAAGATTTGGAAACAAGCAGCATTGGCTTACAACACCAACACTTGTCTCCGCTATTCGCTTCAAATCTCCATACCCTTTGTGTCTCTTCTCCATTATACATATAAGCAGCTGGAGATTGTTTGAGGCAGCTTTATGGATTTTATTGAGTTTCAATTCCAGAAGGGAAACATTGTTAAGCACTTGAGTTGGCTCGTATTGAGGGCTAACTATTGTGTTCTTGTTAAGAAAAATGCCTAATTGCTCACACCTTTGAGATAGCTGGTTTATGAATTTTGGAATGTTGGACTTCTGATCAGGGGTGCCTCCAAAACTCATTAGTGCCCACCTTTCTATTCTAGTTCCTTCAAAGACATGGCTATCTAGAAGATTCCACTGTCGATCACGGCGAGATGGAATCAGATCTCTTACAAGGCCACCATTACCAAGTCTTAGTTTTGGAGGTTGTAGGATTCTCCCATTCAACATTGTCATTTCTCTTGAGACATGCAGTTTGAATTCTCTGCCCTGGTTGCCACTGTCAAGTTAAAGTTTTCAAAACAATTTAATGAAGAAACACAAAGCAAGCAGTTAAAAGACCAGCAATTGAAATCACTGTGGTGCAGAATTCTTTTACAAGAACTTTGGAAAATCACCTTGTTGGCCCAACAGATCCTCGCATGACTTCATCAATAATGGCTTTTCGTTCTTTCGGTCTTTGGCAACCCATTTTAAGTATTCTTGCAGTCTGATCATCTGAAAGTTTCCCAAGAAACTTCTGTCCTTCACAAATCATACAAAGCTCCATTGGCAGATAGCATGGTTTACTTCTACTAATCTGCAAGCATGGCAAGTTCCTGAATGTTATATCATAATTATAGTGATCCATGAAGTAATTCACTAGCCTTAACTTCTTCCCATCTCTGTCTGCGAACCAAAGATTTTCTGTGGCTTCTTCGGTTAAGCCATAAACCCGGTATCTCTGAACAGTTTCTCTATGGCAAACAAAGACCCTAATGTTCTTTAAAGACTTCTCTACTTCCTTCCTTTCTTCACCAGTCAAACTCCTTGTTTTGTTTTGAGGAAGGTCTCGAAGAAACTCGAGTCGCTTTTGCAAGTAAGGAATCACTCCAATACTTTGATGAAAAGCGGTCACGGAAAAATCCACATTAAGAGCTAGTCCTTGTTGTGTTGGTCTTAAACTTTGAAAGAATCCTCTCAATCCAATAGCTCCTCCTCCAATTTCTTTACTTCCTCCCATAGAACTCGAATAGAATGATCTCCCTACAGGTATGCACTTCTCCATAGGGCATTCCCTCAAAACAACATCCAAAGCATGTAAATAATCTTGAGGAAGTGGAACCCAATCATCACCTTCCTTACTCAAATAGCAACTCAATTCCTTTCCATCCAACTTCGACACGAGCTTGATACTGATTCGAAATAGTTTGAGCTCTTGATGTTTCTTTTGAAATTCATTCATTTCTCCGACTGGCAAGGATGATTTACTACTAGTTGGGATCGGAAGGCTAATGTAGAATTCAAGTCTATCATTTTGAAACTCAACCGGACTGTAAAGATTCTTTCTACCATCGTAGGCCGGAAAAGAATCAGAAAACATACTTGAATTGTCCTCTACTAGTTTTCTTTTGATCATCCTTGCAACTTCTTTGGAAGGACTAGGAGAAATTTCCATATTGTAATGGAATATTCGTTGCGAGGAATTGAATTGGACAAGAAAATGATTTGCAAGAAGAGTGATGACTGGTCCTTCTACACCACCAGAATCAGGCCTTCTTGCAACTATAAGTGGCTGATTGATGGAACCCATTGCTCTCCTTCCATTATTTCCTTTAAGAGGTTGTTGCAGCCTCTCTGGATCTGGTTACAGATTGAGAAAGAAACGGGTAAGTTACTGGTATTATTTTTCCTTTTTCATTCTCTTCAATTTTGCTTAGTTATAATTTGTTCTCATTCCAAAATCATCTAAAATTGGTTAAAAGACTGGCCATAACAGAATCAAGAACATTATAATAATAATAATAATAATAATAATAATAATATATGAGTTTTATGCATTAGAATTAGCAAGAATTTCAATTTTAGCAATTAGATTCCTTTCATTGTTTTGCTGTTGTTTTTGGGATAGAGTAAAAATGAGATTCTCTTTATTGCAGATAAGTTCACAGCCAAAATATTTGATTATTATACTGCAAAATGACTAAAACAATAAAATGAAAGAAATTGAAACAATTGCTGTAATAATGATTCTGTTTCCAGTCTACTTTGTTGGTCAACACTCAGCACTCAAAATTTAAAAAAAAAAATCTTCAAAAAAAATCTTTTAACACAAACATAAATGAACTTCCATAGAACATAACATGCAAAGAAAACTATTACGAACAAAAAAAAAGAACAAAATAGAGACTTTATTTTAGATATGTAATGTTACCTAACGAATTTGTGACAATGGATCCTTGGGTGGTATCAGAAGAGGTGGGAGGAAGAGGAAAAGGACGATTATTTAGCTTACAAGAAGGTTTCTGTAAATGGGTTTTTGATCTAAAGTTATGGTTTTGATGTAAAGGTGGAGTTAAAGCAAGTTGGAGAGGTATAGGACGAGGTAAAGGAAGAAGAGCAGGGTAGTAACTTGGATATTGGTTATGGTTAAAAAACCCAAACTGGTTTGAGCATTGAAAGAAGTGATGTTGATACTGATACTGATACTGATATTGATATTGATGCTTATGGGTATTGGTTTTGCCTTTGAAAGTTTTAGTCTCTGTAGTGCATTTCTCGGTAGCATTGGATTCTTGAGTTTCCTCCATTGAAGCTTTCTGTAAGAAAAACAAACGAAAGAGAAAAATAGGGGGCTATGTTCATGACATGAAGAAGGAAACAAAAAAGAAAGAAAAGAAATGGGTTTCTGCTTTTTGATACCAATGGTAAGGTTCTTTCTTTGTGTCTCAGGAGAGAGTGAAGTTATTACAGAGAGAGAAAAAAGAGATTCTGGGTTTTAGTTGCTGAGGTTCTTTGTGTCCCTTCGCTTTGTTCTGAGAGAGAGGTTTTGTTTGGTGTTAGTGAAAATACCAAGGGAGAGAGTGAAAGAAAGAGAGAGTCTTGGTCTGGCTTTAAAGAAAGTTGGAAAGCCCCACTCAAGAAATGGGTAAGGGTCTGTTTGGAGTTATTGCAATCTGTATCTGTGTACATAATAATAAAAAACAGCATAAGATACAACTTCGAATTTTAGGTGGGTGCTGATATACCCTTTCTGATCCATTTGACTACCTGTCAAACACGTAAGGCCATATTTTATTTTATTTTGTTTTATTTTTATATATTAAATTTATTTTTTAATATCAGTAAAAAAAACATATTTTTTCACACTGTAATTAAAAATTCATAATTTTGTTAAATTAATAATTTAATATCAAATAGTTATAGTTTAGTTATCTATGTTTCATGTAAAATTTCTTTTAAAAATAAGTCATTTATAGAGATATCTTTTTGTTTTATGTAAAATATTATTTAGAAATAAGTTATTTTATAGAGATAAATGGAGTCTGGAAAAAAAGTTAAATATTTTTTAAATCTATTAATTTTAAACTTTTAACTTATATGAAAATAGACATATGATATTAGAATTAAAAATTTTATAAATATCATTGAGGTAATAATAAATAATTAAATATTTGTCTTGAAATTTTTCGATTAAATATAGTCTTAAAACCCAAACTCTAATTAATATAATAAAAAATAAACTTATTTATCAACTCATGAAACTTTGCAAATCTCATTTGACCAAAATATGTAAGTTTCATAATAATAATAATAATAATAATAATTCTTATAGGATAGTGATTAGACTTTAATTAATGTCATTAATGGTCGAACATATTATTTTAAAATTTATTAATTTTTTGATTTGAATACTAAGAGTGAATATTTTTAGCATCATCTCATTGATCATCCTCATCATTACCATCCACTTGCATAAAATCAATGAATTAAGACAATATTATAGGCATGTTACATCTATTAGGACAATTTTGCAGACCAAAAAGTGATCAGAGAAAGAGACAAAGCATTTATTTACAAAAATAACACTGAAATAGGTTAACCTAGTTCCAATGTTAGCTAACTATAGACTTTTGATATATTTAATATTCAATAATCAAAGCTACACAATGGGAATAAGAATCTTCTGTTCTCCAGTTTTTTCTATGGAAGCATTTCTAAATCCATTTTTCAATTTTTTGTATAAAGATATAAATCCATTATCATTAGAACAAATAATTAATTTTGCAAAATAAAAAATAAAAAAAAAATTTGAAATCCAATAAAATTAGTGTAAGTATTCAGTCATTTAGTTTATTTGGTTCAAGAAAATCCAAATTGAATTATTTGAATAACATCTAATCAAACTAAATAAAATTCTACTAACATATTCAATAATTCAACTTGATTGGCAAAAAATTAAGTGAAGTTGGTACATAGGATTTGGGCAATTTTGTTTAAAGTATAAACATACAAAAATAGCTATTAAGTAAATATAATAAAAAATCATAAAAATGTTTTTTGATAAATGAATTATCAAACCCAAAAAATATATATAAATATTAAAATATCAAACCAACTGAATTTATAAATAGATGAGAATGTATAGATTTAATTACAAAGAATAAAAACTTATCATGTAATTTTGATCATCAATTAAAAGCTAAAGCCATAATCATCAAAACAAAACAAGTAATCAAATATCAAAATTTCCCTTGGCCAATGAGGCTTAGTTTAAATGTCTACTTATGTTAAATTTTAAATTTATAATTTCAGTTATGTTAGGAATTTAGATTCTGTTCGACAAAAATAACTGTTTTGATAGCTATTAAATTATTTTAATAATATTTAACTGTTTGACTAATTTTTTATAAATTTTTAAAAACTAAATGTTATATCGTTAACTGTTTTATAAGATATTACATTAATCTTTAAAAGTTAATATAAACATTATGTTATTAGATATTATAAAAAAATAACACATATCATTTTTAAGGATTAAAATGTTAAAAACGCACGTATCATTTTAAAAAGTTATTTTCAAACGCAGTTAAAAAACCTGTTTTCCAACAGAATTTAACATCTCTTACCACAAAACTTATGTTTATCATGATTAACGGTAGTGGAGGCCCATTCATGCACTTGGAAAGAATATTTTTAAGGATAAACACCATTTTAATGTGGTGATGGGACAAACAATATCATTAGAGTGGAGCCTAGGATTATTCAATTCAAATTTTTGTTTTTTTTGTTTTTTTTTTTTTAATATTTGGATCACATCAATGCCCACTAGCTAACAGTATAGTCTTACTTTTCTTTTTTTTTTTTTTGGTTTATAGAATATAAATTCTTGAGCATATATTGACAAAAATAGAGGATTGGTCAAACCATAACAGTTTCCAGATAGGTACATGTGGCACAATCACATTTCCTAATTGTTTGTCTCTCAGATCTTTAGCTCAATGAGTAGTAACTATCTCCCAAAAAGGAAAGAACTTTACCCAATTAATTAATTATGTCATTGTTTTTGTTATTAGTTAATAGTTAGTTAATTAATCTCATTGATTTAGTTAATCACCAGGTCATTAGCCAATGAAGCTTTGGTCTCGTAATCAAACAGAAGTTTTAAATTTCTCCTCCTCCACTTCAACAATTATAAAATTTACTAACGGTGTATAAATAAATTGTCTAATTTCGAATAAAAAAATCAAAAATCCAACCTTTTTTATCTTAAATCGAAAACTGCATTACATCGAAGTTTATTTAGCACCAAACAAACTCATTGATTCAGTTAATTCTAATCATTTTTGGACAAAAATTACATATTTTGCATGATCAAATTGAAAATTGAAATCGAAATTTTCTAAAATTTCAAATAAAAACCTTATCAAATATCCAAAAAGCTGAACCAAATAAATTTCGGATTGATTTTTCAATTTTAACCAACCTCTAATATTTACCTATTAGAGGTTGAATTTTAACTTTAATGACTTTCATTTATGGTTTTGTTAAATTTATAATTCTGTTTAAATTACAGTATTATAATAATATTATTAATACTATAATATCTAAAAGAAAAGTTCATTACAGTGTATAGTTGTGATGATGTTTTCTGTTTTTTTTCCCTGTGTGTCACTGTCATTTCTATTTTTATTTTTTTTAATTTATTTATTTTGCTTAGTGAAAAGACCAATTGTGGCTGGCTGCACTCCCTAAGGATTTGGTTGTCTGCAGATAAATTCCTTAGCAAAATCACTATCTCATCCTGCACATGCAAGGATATATTGTTATGTACATATAGAACTGTTTAAAAGATGAGTCTTAATCATGATATAGGTATATTATTCTAATTACATTTTAATTATAAAAATTTAATCTTAATATACGTAAATTATTTTAAAAATCTCTTATTATAGGTAGCAAAATGAATGCACAAATAATAAAAGATTCAAATTATCATTATTTTGTTAATTCAGTATAGCTTCTTCTAAATGTGTCGCTTTGCTTCTCGAGAATTTCTTTTTGAAAAAAAAAAAATACCTTGTTAATGAATTATGATTTTTACTAATGTTTTCGAGAAAAAAAAAAAGATAAAATTTTGTAAGAAACGTTCAATATATGCAATAAATATTCAATAAAATTAAAAAAATTTCACATTTTTAACTATAATACTTAAAAATAAGTATAGTTTTATAAAAAAATGTTCAATATATGTAATTTTTCACAAATTACAGTGTTCAATAAATATAATTTTGTAAGTTACGTGCATTTTTCAGACTCCTTTTTTTTTTTTAATGAATTTTAGGTATAATTTTATACATTTTGCCTCTACATACACATATGGCTTTTGAGACATGAGTTAGACACTGTAGTTTATTTTAAGAATAATATTTATAAAAATTTGTAAATAAAAATGAGTTTATGCTAATGCATGGAAACTAATTGGAAAATATGTTAACTGGAAGTACTAAAAATATATTTCAAATACACAATTCATTGATACGATGGATGCAATCTTTGTTTTTAAAAAAGCAACAGAGAAATCTATCTTTGTTAATTTAAAAAAAAAAAAAAAAAAAATTTTCAGACTCCTTTTTTTTTTTTAATGAATTTTAGGTATAATTTTATTAGCATTTTGCCTCTACATACCATCATATGGCTTTTTGAGACATGCGTTTAGACAACTGGTGTTTATTTTAAGAATAATATTTTATAAAAATTTGTAAATAAATGAGTTTTATGCTAATGCATGGAAAACTAATTGGAAAATATGTTAACTGGAAGTACTAAAACTATTTATTTCAAATACACAATTCAGTTGATACGATGGATGCAAATCTTTGTTTTTAAAAAAGCAACAGAAGAAATCTATCTTCTGTTATTTAAAAAAAAAAAAAAAAAATTTCAAGTGTCCAAATCTTCTTATTTTCCCCTTCTCCTTTTTTTTTTTTTTTTTTTTTTTTTTTTTTTTTTTTTTGGGGAAAATCATGTAAAGTTGAGTAGCCTATAATTGCATAAAGATGTAAGACCACTTCCTTTATGTTTATACTAAATATAAATGAATGCCTTCTATTGCTGGTTGATTGGTTCCATGAAAATGTATATATATATATATATATATATATATATTATATATATATATATATATATATATATTATATATATAATATATATGTATATGTTATGTAATTTTTAAGACCTTGTCCTCAACATTTGTGGGTTTTTCTATAATTTGGTCTGTTGGATGCTCCTTTTTGTCCTTACCATAAGGTCAATTCTTTTTTTTTTTTTTTTTTTTTTTTTTTTTTTTTTCTATCTTTGCAAAAAGTAAAATCCTTTAAAATTATATTTCAATTGGTTAGATTAAGTATTAAATCAAAATCAATTTATTAAAATTGATTGGATACCCGTAATTAATGTGAGGGGTGAGAAGGCTTTAGGTCCGAATAACATTGACCGTAAGAGTTTTCATGAATCTAAAAGGAAGGTTATTCCATATTTTCTAATTCGCTGAGAGCCTCAAAGTGAATTGAAAACAAAAAAAAAAAAATGGATATTTTAACTTTATAAATTTTATTCATTAAGTCATTAATTGGATGATGTTAATTTATAAAATTCAAAAAGTTTAAGAGCCTAATTACTCAATGGAAATTTTAGAAATTAAATTAACAATGTATTACTAATAATCTAAAACAATTACTTTGATATTTTAACTTTATTTTTGGCTATAATTGTCGTTGATTTTTTAAATTAATTATGTAACATTAAAACAATTGAAAATTAAAAATTTTAACCACTATATAAATGTAAACCTCAATATATCCTTAATTTATTAATTCCAAAATTCATTTGATTGAACCCATTATTAATTAGTGGAATAACTCACTAAATTTTCAAAACACTAGAAAGTTATTGTCACCCTAAAGTGGTTAAGATTGAAGAAAGCTTACTGGATAAACAAGATTTGGGTGGATTGCAACTTAGAACTTTTGACGATTTGCACCAAGAAGAGGGATAAAAATCATATTAATTAAGATTAATCATTTTAATCTTAGGTCATGAACACCTTTTCAGGATACGGTGAGACACAGGAAGAAGACTGAGAAGATCCTAGAAATTTTGAGGATCTTGACCATATCTACTTTTAACCTAAAATATTGGAAATACCCATGACCTAGACATTCATCATGATTCAATCCTAAAGGTACACACACTAATAATGATTTAGTATAAAAGGTCAACTCAATTTTTTTTAGCACAGGTAGCTTAACCATTCTCAACTGTAGCGAGTTCAAACTTTAAATCTTGATTATTAGATTTAAATTTTAAACTTATGTTATAATAAAATTAAATTTAATGGCGACAATTTAATGTTAATTAGTAATATTTAATTAAAGAGTAGATTAAAAATATATAGTTTGGTTTTTAAAATGGAATATAGAAATTATTTGGTAGGACCATTTAGATTTCCAAATACGTGAAAAGTAGTCATATATGTATCGTTATCAGACACAGCCCTTTATTACTAATTTACTATAATGAAGAGGGAAATAATAATGAAGCTGCTGTAAAGCATTCCCTGAAGTGGACCTGTCCAGATGCAAATTAAGTATTAGTGTTTTGAAGTAATAGAATGTAATTAATTACTCCTTCATTTATATATATAATAGATTAATTATATTAACTCTTCATTTCATATTTATATATATAATATATATATAATTATATATTATCACACACACACAGAGTGTGTTTGCTTAATGGTGATATTGTAGGGTTCAAGATAGCTAAAAAATTTTCACCCCTTTCAAAATATTTTCTATACCATCTTAACACAAAAAATCTTTTAAAAAAAAAAGAAAATATAACAAATTTAAATTGAAATAAAAAAAAAGAGAAAAAAAAAAAAAAGAGAGAGGTCTTGTATTGGGATTTTACTCATTAGCAAGCTCTAAATTTTTTTTCCAATCTTAATCTCACGTCAAATCTAACTTTCTGATTGGATTCTTGAGTTTTGATTTTAGCTACTACAAAGATGAGCATATATATCCATACCCATCCATTATTTTGAAAACAATTTTTCTTTTTAATCCTATTGATTAATGGATATTTGTACTAAAATATTAAGAATATTAATTGATAAACATGCTATAATATCTTTTCTCCACTAAATAATTAATGAAGAAGATAAAAATGGGAGATCAATAGAGCTCCAAAAACACAATTCACCATCGCCACCACCTTCTTTGCTGTAAGAAGAAGAAGAAGAAGAAGACGACCCCGCTATTTCTTGATCTTGCACTTTCTCCTCCTCCTTCTTTTTCTTGATTATCTCTCCATTATCATTAATGTCAATTAGCCTAAGACTATTATTAGACTCCGACATTTTATCATCACATGATTCAATTTTAATACTACGACTGCCATTACTACTCTTTTCCATTCCTTCATACCCAAGCTTCAAACGCTCATGTACTCCATTATAAGCATAAAGAGAAGCTGAGAACCTACGTTCATAATTTAGTCTATTCATTATCTCTTTCACCATTAATGACTGCTCATTATCACCATTATTATAGTTGTAGTTCTTATCCTCCTCTACTATGGGGGCCATCATTTCCTCTGCTATATCAAATGGAGAATAATAAGTGCTAATTGATGCATCTTCATGAATAGAAAAATCTATCTTCAACATATCAATCTTTTCTTCCTTTTCTTTTTCGACTTCTTGATTTTTCTCTTCTTCATTTTCTAGATTAAAATTACTATTCAAACTCTCATTCAAATTCCCCAATGGACCATCAGCCCAGCAGTCGAGTGTCTGTCTAGTAAAACAGGAAGTCGGGGTATGATCAACTTCTGACAGCTCTTTTCCTTTCAAAAATTTCGGATGTTCCAAAAAGTATTTATCATCCGAATTTGTATCAAAATGATCACTAGTAGTACTTAAAGAACTAGTAGCAGTGCAATTCAAGAAATTATCAAAATGGATTTCTTTTGCTTTCCTTGAATCTTGGTTGTTTCTTGCTTTCAGCCTTTGCAACAAAAGATTAGATATTTTGGAAGGAAGGGCAGGTTTTAAAGAATTCGAGAAAGGAAAGAAGTTTGTTCGAGTGTTAGCTCCACGAAGCAAGCAAGCAGCTTCATCATAAGCTCTTGCAGCTTCTTCAGCAGTATCATAAGTGCCTAACCAAACCCTAATCTTTTGTATGGTGTCTTTTATCTCCGCCACCCATCGTCCCGAAGGCCGTTGCCGGACGCCTACGTATCTTTTTCGAGGTCTCAATTCACCAGTAAGTGTGACAGCCTCCTCCAGTACTTTGTCCCAAGAAATGGATTCATAATTGATTGGTTCTTCTTCATGGCTAGTAGATTTTGCCTTTCTCTTCCTCATTAGTGACATGCATGTATTCTATCTGGGTACGTATTATATGTGTTTTACTTCTTCTCTAGCTGTAAGTATACTTATATACAAACGAGAGGTAGCAATTTCATTTTAATTTCCTGAGAATGATGTTTTAGAGGAAATTAATATAATAAACCCTAATTAATTAATCTCAACTGCATTGTAAACTACCAATCCAACCTGGTTAAAGGGACATATGATCACATACTGTACAATACGTTTGTTACAATGAAGCAACATTAATTTTATTTTAACCGTACCTTCACGGAATTGATCATCGTTATTTTCAACATAAGCAAGATTTTCCTTCCCACATCCACATGTATACAAAACCATCAACTTCAAAAGAGCAGAGACATATCGTTGTTCATATTAATTAATGTTAAAATAATTGAATACAAAATAGGATTTCTATTTAGCAATTTTCGCTTGTAATAAAGCAGCAACTATTTTGATACATTTAAATTAATTTTTAATTTTTACATATTTTATTTATTTTGCGTCTCATTTTATACTAATCAAAACTAAATCAAAATAAAAATGGATAAGACCTATTTACTACTGATATATGAATCCAATAAAGATCTTTTGGCTTGGCGAAAAGCACGCTAGTATCACGTGATTATAAATAGCATCTATGTCATATTTTTATGGAATTATTATTCAATTGATAGATAATGCATGCACTTATCACTAGGTTATGTCATACGTGCACAAATATCTGCATTTTGAACTAAGCTTTTATCCTTATTTCTGTGGGTTAGAAAAGTATCGGTAAAAAGAAAGATAAAGGTCTGTGAAAAATGAAAAATCCAACCGAAGTTAACGAGGGAGAAGGAGAAATAAGGACAGAATCCAGCTTTCAAGTACAATCAATCAGTAATCACTGACCCCATATTCAGACTCGGTTCTTGAATCAATAGAAACATGAAATTAGGTATTCACTCCAAAGTACAATATATATAAATAAAAAGGAACTTTATCTATATCCATGGATTGGTAATTCAGCCATTGAGTGACAAATATTTATCTTATTCTTATTCTTCATCAGAAGGAAACAAAGAGGGAACAAAAAAAAAAAAATCTGCCAATATTATTTTCTGGAACTGTACCAGTGCTTTGCTTGGTTATCCTCTGGCACTCTGTATGACAAAATTGTCAATTCTATCGTCTATTTCGAAGTTCGATTTCTAGTTTCACGTACATTAATCATAAAATTTCTAAACATCCCAACAGATTGTTTCAAATTGCTTTTTTCATAATCTAGAACAATAGTTTAACAAGATAATTTTCAATCTCTATACCCAAACAAATCGCAGAACCAGGGAACTGTTTGCCAGGCAAGGTCAATGCAAGAGACATAACAGCCCAACTGCGTTTTTAGTGTTGTTTTCTTTTAGTCCTACACCTAGAGATTACCACCGGTCGCAAGCCATGCTAAGTGGTAACGTAATTAAGGCCTAACCCTTTTGATTATTAGTTGCTTATACTTCAATGTTTTAAAAATATTCTTCCTGCTTTAACCTAAGTCAGGCGAGGCACACGCAGGCTTCAATCAATTATAAGTGTACATTCAAATTAAATGCATATCCGAATTCACTACACAAAAACTAGTCACTGATAAATGCTCATAGCATTCGCATTCTGCATCTCATAGCACTTGTCAGATAGCTAAAGAACTGACATTATAAACTCTGAGAATTATAATGTATAATTTTTAGGGGATAAATGGGTGTGGGGTAGTTGTTAAAAAAGAGGACAAGATTTCACACTGATCAGTCTCGTTATCTTATATTTCTGCAATTCTGAAGTTATCAGCAGACAAGCAGAGCCTTTCTCAGCCCAATTAATTCATCTCTCCTTAGCATGCTATAGTGGCACTAGAAGTTGAGAGTTTTTTTTTTTGCACAGAACAGGAGGTACTCCTATGATAATATGTGCACTAAAGAACAAAGCAGAACCAACTTACTTAAAATCAGATATCTTGGACTGCTGTTTGGCCATCTCCTGGATTTTAACCGTACAGAAATACAGGAGAATAGAAATAAAAGTAGTTTCTAAGATGTAATACATAAACTTCATGGAGAAAAAGAACATAAACTAAAGCAGTCTCCAAAGGTTTGAAAAAATATTTTAACCAGAAACCTGTAAAGATTTTCAATAGATATGAAAATTATTATAACCAAATAAAAGAAATTCCTAAGCTTGCTTTCTGATGGAAAACAAAAGCAAAAACTTTGGCCAATGTTTGTATTTTAAAAATACACTTACAGGGAGTTGAAATCAAAAGATGCATAGAGAAAAAACCACCTGGTAAGCAAAATAGCATAAAACATTTAAGATAATTTTGCATTGTGATAGTGCCACTTTAGTTGCACCACAGAACACGTGCCCCAAAATTTAATCAATCTCGGTGCCAATAGTATACAGCTGTGATACATGAAGATCAGTCGTGCATCAACTTAATTGCTACTAATAAAGATGGAATTGATCTCGTATTTTCCTTTCCTAATACCTCAAGGTTATTTTACAAGCTAATATACATTGTTCAAAATGAAATAAACAAACATCACAGAAGGACGTGACGTGCAACTACATCCATGCATGTAGTCGTGTGTGTGGAAAAATGCATTTCCCTAGGCACAAACTCATGGCACAAAAAAATAAAGCCATTACTACGTACCAAAATGGCAGTAGATGCTGGAAACCACTAACCGTCACTCGTACACTACATATATAGCCATAATTTACATATATTCAAGCATCAGTTAGAAGATAGAAGGGGACTGTTAAGACTATCAGTAGTTGCAGAGTACTGAATTGGCATTAGAGCCGGGTCTTCATACGCAGTAACCAAATGGTTGAAAAATTCAGCCATTGCAGGGTCATTCTCCTCTTGTCTGTCCTTTTTTAGTAAAACCTGAAAGCATAAACCTACCCCGGTCAACAATTGTTTGAAGCTAGCGAGCATAGGAAAGAGAACAGTTATCCCCAGGGCATAGGGTGCAAAACGCATGGCACAACATACCTCAGCAGGGTAAGCAACGAAATTGGGCAGAAAGCGTTTCCGGCAGTACTCGTTAAAGAGCAATGTCAGGACTGGAAGAGGAAAAATTAAGGTTGATGCAATAGAAAGCTTCTTTAGAGTAAAAATCCCTATTGCAATTGCATGCATGAGCACCAGAGAGAATATCATTGAATTGTGCACAATAGGCCAAAACTTCCCTGCAGTCTCATACTTGGGCATGTACACATTTGTAAACTGCGTGATACATTTCAGAGCAACAAATCCATTTATAAACAGGTAAGGATCTAGTAAAAACAAAAATATATATAGAAAATATATATAGAGTTTAAGTGATACAGAGCAGTAATCAAGTAGTGGCCCCTTTAATAACTGGAAAGTTGGTGATCTAGTTACTATTGTGTTGAGCAAATTGAAAGAGGAAAATCTAACTACAGTTCACACACATTCAGTAGAACATTAACCACTTTCTTCATATTTTGCAAATAGGAATGAACTGACATCACTGTATACTCTGACCTGTGAGTTTTGTCAAAGTGCACTTCCATAACCACACATACACACACAGAGAGGCAGAGACCAGTATATAAAGGAAAGTTGGGATTCATATTTTCCCATTTCCCTATCAATATAGCATTTATATAGTTAAAACTCAGCATTTAGTTTATATTTACCCATTCTAAAGTTATAAGCTTTTCTAATCTGTATTATTATTCAATAGAACCTAAAAAGTACAACACATTGGCAGTGAAAGAGTTTATACAGTTGATTCATTTGTAATGTGCAAAATTATAACTGGCACCCCAGAAAAGGTGTTGAATTTTGAGCCTGCAAGAACAGGAGAATGTTGGGGACTTAAATTTGTAGCCTGAAAAATTGCAGTACTTTGGTTTTTGCAAATGAGTTTGGGCCCAATCCTTAGCATGACTTGAGTCAAGTGATGGGTTTGGCCTTTAATTTTATATTGCCCCCTTCTTTTCTCCTTGTTTTATTTTTTCTTTTTCAAACAATGCAAGACAAAGTCCCATCCTACAAAGAAAGGGAAAATTTTGCATAAGTTTCTAACCTGATTAAGGAAGATGATGTATGCAAGACAGAGGTACACCAATAGGAAGGGCAATATTAGTGGAGCTAGGAAGAAATATGTAATCCCAAGAAGTCCAAAGAAAAGAACTCTTGGGATGTCCCTGTGGTAAGGAATAGATGGAACTTCAAGTTCATCGTTTGCACTTTTAAAACATCTTGTCGCAAGAGAGCAAATAAGAGGGATTATACGGAAGAGATCTGATGAAGTGCTTGTCCATCCAGAAGTAACGACATATGCAATGAAAAATGATGCCTACAGATAAAAAGAAAAAAATGTGTCATATAAAAATATATGATAAAAATGATGCCTACATATGTGTCTACATGAAAATATGCCAATACATAGTGAAACTCTCCAGCAATTCCTCCCAGGCCAGAAAAGAAAAAACAGAGATAGTTAGGCTTTTTCCTATACAAGCATTAGAAATCCATGGATGAAATTTAACTGTCTCAGGGACTTCTATGATTTGCTGTTTACTTAGGTTTAAATCAATTGTTGGCTCATTGCCTCTCTATATGAATGTAACTGATAAAACAATATAAAATTTGTTTTCTTTCTTATTTTTTAAAATTTATGTTGGCTTCACAAGTGTTTGTGAATTAGCATAAAGATAGAGATAACTTCAATACAAGTCAAATGAGCTATACCACCTGGCAATGCAGGTCAAGCAAGCAGCAATGGCAAAATGCTTGTCAGATGAATTCAATTCATGTGGGGTGAATAGATACAAGGAAATAAAAAGTTTGCTATGGAAATTCAGGATTTTATCCACAAATATTTAGATTATTATTAAGGATAACAACAAAAAGAAAGTAACAAGAAGAAAGCATGTAGTTTGTGGGTCAACTTCAAAAGAAAATATATATTTAAATCCCATGATTCTCATTGAAATTTTTCAATTATATACACTTACCTGTGCAGGAACAGAAACAGCCAGCTTTCCAGGAATATTTTTGGGGTCAAGAAAGATGGAAACTTGAGATAACACTGACCCGGAAAACACAGTTGCGAAAAAGATGTTCCATATTGTGAACCAAAGTACTTTGTTACATGCACTCTTCTCTATATCACTATGAGAAATGTAACCTTGAATGGAGGAAAGGAACTCCATGATTGGAGGCACAATCTTAAGAAACAACTGAAGAATTAGACTGGGAAGGTATCCTGTGATTACTTGACTAACAAATGTACTGCAAACAATGAAGATAATGTTTAGTATTCTGCATCATTACAAGAGAAAAATAAAGAATGAAAAATGAAATTCCAAAAAGATTATCTGATTTAACAAGCTACCACACTGTTGTTATTGTTTGCCAATAAGATAAAACCAAATAAAGAAGATGAAACTAATGAAAGGACAATGTTGCGATTATAACTCACATGGTTAGAATACTTTTAAGGAATGGAAACATTATCTCCAACTGACTCAAGTTAGTAAGACCTTGCACAACTAAAACAGGAATAAGGAATAAAATTGTTAGAAGAATACATGCAAGTACAACCACAAGCTTAGAAATCCATTTTCGCAGGAATGAAGAAGAAAAAAATGGCCAATAAACATCATCAGGCTCAGGAGCTTGTTCAGTGACCCAATGTGTGGGATTGATTGATTGTTGCAAGTGGCAAGCGACAGCAGCACCATAACGAGATTTAAAGGATACAAAAGCAGCTCGAGTTTCCTTTTGCACAGAAAAAATCAATTTAGTTTAGTTCGATGCACCACATAATATTTGAGAAATGGCAAATCTAAAGAACTTGATCAAAAAGCCAATAAATCAACCCAACTCATGAAAACAATAAGAAATCCAATAAGACATCAGCTTCTACAAAAAGATGCTAAAAAATCTTTCTGATGACTGCAAAACGGCATCTAGAATAACAATAAATGCATTGAACTTTTAAAAATTATTATAATTATGCAAATGGAATTGTAATACTATATTGCTTATAAATTCCAAAAAAAATCCTACAAAAGGTCAAAAGCAAGTGAAAAACATGCATGCATGTTTTTCTGTCTAAAGCTAAAAGAGTCATAGGCTGCTGATACACAAGTATGAGTTTCCTATAAAAACTATCAACAGGCTAAAGCCTCAATAGTACAATTACCTTGGATGCATGTCAAAGCATTGGGTAACCCGGCTAAGGCAGGATGTTATTTAATTTGGTGACATGTAATGCATACAAAAACTATACACCATTTTAAATGTTTCTTTAAATTATTGATCAAGATCTAAACAAAGATTACAGAGCATGAAATAAAGTAAAAAATTTAAAAGATTAACGTGAAAAGAGTGGGACATACTTGTGCTAATGATACATCCGATTGCTCCAATCTCACATTCTGCTCTATGCCCTCTAACTTCTTTTCATAATGATCCACAAGATCGACCCTTTTTCCAAATAATCCAATTCGTCTATACTTCTGGTGAGAAGGTCCCGATTGCAAGTGAAGAAGGCTTTTATACAACTTCTTTGATTCATGCTACACAGAGAAAAGACATAAGTAACAAAGGAGACTGGGAAAAAATCTAAAGAAAGTTGAGTTCCACAAGTTACTAATTAACTGATTTTTTTTTTTTTTTAAATTCTAGAAATGTTTATCATAAGAAGCTAGTAGATTTCTTTCATTTTGGCATGCGTCATGTTTCCAAAAAAGAACATGGCAAGTCATCAAGTTCAAATGAAAACTCTTACTGCTAGATGCTTGTTCAAAAAGCAATTATTATAATGTTTTCAACTATGTACTCAAGGCCTGTTTTTCTACCACCACAGAAGAATGAGAAAAGATGAAGCTTAATAGTTTCTTTTGAGTTTCAGTTTCAGATTCAATGTTTTTATTTTGTCGACCTCTTGTTTGGTAATCACATAGACAACTGAGAGTTCAGATAATTTATTTTGCTCTCTCTCTCTCTCTCTCCCCCTCTATATACACACACACACACACACACACAACTGAGGGTTTAGATAATGTTATGATGATAAGTCTTAAAATACTAACAAACAGATTATAGGTTCAAAACATGAAAGTAGCAACACTTCATGCAATAGCTAGATTTCCTTCCTAAAATCACACTTCAGTGAGACCATAACTAAGTACCGACCATTTTCGTGACACTGCTTTTCTAAAATGGTGCATATACCAGCTCCTATATTCCTAATCCTATAATCTTTTCTTAAAACTATAACTTTTCAGGCCCATAATTTGCTAGTGATCTTTCTCTGATACTGTTTTTATAATTCTGCCAAACAACCAGTTCTCACATTCATTATTCAATATTTACATTACAGTTCTATAGATCCCTAAGAACCTTAAACAAAGTATGAACTTCCCATCACCATTCCCACGCAAGACAGTCCATGTACATTCGAAAACCAAGGGTGTCCTGCATTACACACCTAACAATGCATTATATTACATCAATCATATTCTTTTCAAAAGGTTTATATATATATAAATACACAAAAATCATGCAAAACCACCATAGGAAGAGGGTAAAAAAGATATAACATACTATGAGACTCCGAAGTTTGTTAGTTCGATGAACAACCACGTGGGACAAATATGTGGTCGGGTGAAACTCTTTAAAGAAGCTTTCAACACTTTCGCTGACACCACTGCCAAATGAAACGGGGATACTGCGGACCAAGATGGTGAACTGATGTGGCTGAGGTTTGGATGAATAAAAATAAGCAATCCTTTTTGAAGATATATATCTATATTCCTGCACAATTCAATATTACTCAGCGGCAATTCATATATAAGGCAATGGTTTTATCTGTGCATTTGCCATTAATTGTAAAAGAAAATAGCATCACCCTACTTCAACATATATTTTCCTTTCCAATGCATATAACAAAACTACAGGAATTTAAATATAATTTATCCATTCAGTCATATTTAGTCAGCAGAAGCAATTAGAGTGTAGTCAAATTCTGCTGCAAAAGATTATACATATAATGAATTAGAACTGCATAGAATTTGACTTACAAAATAAAGCAGACAACAAACAAAAATAGTGACGATATACACAGCAGAGAAGTGGATCCACAACCTGCCAAAATGACCAAAGCTCATGAGTTTTTCTTCAAAGTATCATCACACATCAACTTAGATGTCCTACAAATTCAGGACGTTTATAACCTTTCTTGTTTGTTTTAATATCCAAACCTTAGCAACCTTTTTTTTTATTATTTTTCTGATCCCCTTGTTTTTTTTTTTTTTTTTTTTTTTTTAGCAGAGGAAGTTGGATCCACAACCTGCCAAAAATGACCAAAGCTCATGGAGTTTTTCTTCAAAGTACATCACAACTCAACTTAGATGTTCCTACAAATTTCAAGGACGTTTTATAACCTTTCTTTGTTTGTTTTAATATCCAAACCTAGCAACCTTTTTTTTATTATTTTTCCTGATCCCCTTGTTTTTTTTTTTTTTTTTTTTTTTCAAATATTAGCCCGACCTTTATTTTTTTTTTTTTTTTTTTTTTTTTCAATATTAGCCCGACCTTATAAAATGATGATTACAGTTTTAGCCAATCTAGTAAGAAACAAAATTCACTGCATAAAACTTACATATGTAACTTAACACGCCAAAAATTATCACTATTCATTTCCAATGGTGATAATACAAAATGGTAACTTTTTGCTACCTTGTTCACTTTCTAAAATTATTAATACTTTTTATTTATCAATTACTGTAAAAAAGTGATTTAATTTTTTTTTCCAAAAATGAAAAAATAAATAACTTAGAAATTTATATGTAACAACATTATGAAGAAAATTTTCTTTTTTTTTTTTTTTTAAACTAAACAAGCTATATAAGTTTTTTTAATTCATAGTATTTTGATTCCCACTCATTAAATCAGCTAAACTTGCTAGTAATACCATAGAGCTAGATAAAAATTGAAAAAATTAAAAGGATTGAATAAAACTGAAAGAACCACAAAGGTTTGCATTTTCTGATCATTAGGCCTTTCTATTATGGTTCGAAACCATTTTCCACAGCTAATATGTCTAAAATCCCAGTTGAGTGACAAGAACAGAGACTAATACAAACCAACACCTTTCAGAGCAGACAAAATGTGACTTTCTGATGCAATCAACAAAAAGAAAGAAAGAGAGATACTAAGTTACAGATTACAGATGACTTACAACATCATAACATCCTGATGTGAACTAAATAATTAAATGGATCCATGGGACCAAAAGATCCAAAGATAGCTAAAAGCCACAGAAAGAGTGTTCAAAATAAGAATTTTCAGTACCAAAGTCTTCATACATAACTTAGAACAGAATCAAACATTTAGTGAAGACATAGCTGAGTCATCTACTGATGTAAAACAAAAGTGATAAAACTGTGTCTAATTACTCAAGGAAAGCTATCAAGATGAGGGATTCAACCATTGTTTACTATAATATATGAGAGGTGGATCTCAAGTTTTAGTCTTATCAAAGAGGACTAAAATAAAGGATTGCTAGAGACAGAATAAAAGAATTCAAAATGAGCAACAGTTCAAGCAACTGTATTTAGAGAAAAACACTAAGTTTTATAGAAACAAAGATATCCTCATGAATAAATAGCAAAATTAGCACACTTATTATTCTGAAAAGCTCTTCATTGCCTTATTAGAGGAGGAAATTACCATTTTGAGCCACTCTTTACATTTGAAATGGTAAACACGTCCAAAGAATTATTTGATAAATCTGCAAAGTCGATTTCATGAAGCTGAGTTCCGATGGAATTCACTGGAAGAAGAATAAAGATCCCTATTATCCCAGCGAATGTAAATACTTTCAAACTGCAGTATTAAGATACAAAAAAGCATGAATTTGAGTTCAGATGAAACAAGAAAGTGAAAACCAGAGCGGACCAAATTAAGACAATATCGACAAAATAACGCTGCATAATAACACTTTCCTGATGTATCTGCATGAGAAGAAAATAATATGCATACAAACATTTGAATGGACAAACACAGCACAAACATATATGATGGTGATGATATTGCAGAAAACAGAAATATTACCTTGTCAACAATAACATAACATTTTGGACTCTGAATATGGCCTACAAAGTGAAACGTTAAAGTGAAGAGGTGCTTGCCTGAATGCCTGTGCACAAAAAAGGTCACTGAACACACTAGGCAAGGAATTATGCACCCACACTCCAGCTTCTTTGAATATTTCCACTATTGATTTGCCAGATATGTTGATATTCACTGATGACATATGGATTTTCTTTTCTTTTTTTTTTTTTTTTTTTTTTTTTTTTTTTATGGATTTTCTTTTCTTATTTTTTTTTTTTTTTTTTTTTTTTTTTTTTTTTTTCTTTTGGGGATTTTTTTTTTTTTTTTTTTTTTTTTTTTTTTTTTTCTTTTGGGATCTTTATCGAGTTGAAGAGGCATAGAGAAAAGGGCAAGAAACAGAGCCGTCCCAGCACCACCTATGCTAATTTCTCATAATCTCATCATCAAAAGCTTCATCTAAAAAGCCCCTTCAATCTCTCAATCCCACATCATCTATGCCACGATCTTGGGACCTTATAACCTAGTACCACCTTAACACTAGGTTTTGAGGTTGGACTTGGTTTCTAATACACAGTATCCTTAAGGTCTCTTTACATTATTAACTTATCGAATCTGTTTTCTTCAGCATGCAGTTCTCAGTACTCCCTATTTCTCCCAATCTATAACCTTTTTCTTTTACTTATAATGCTCTCTCCAAATGCATTATGTAAGAATAAATACAAGAGACTCATTAGAATACTCAGTAACAAGCAATTTCACATTTTCAGATTACACAGTGTTCATCATATCATTATACTCAATTCAAGCACTTGGGATTGTCATATGTGTCAAATAACGAAACAATAGCTATTGGTAGAAAACAACATAATAGAAGAATGCTAGGCCGTATTTCCTGACATAACAGATGCTTGTCGGGTGTTGACAAAAAGAAAGCTCAAAGTCTTTTCATGCCATGGATGCTAGTCACATAGACAACACCAACAGTTCACGTCTAAATTCAGATTGCCAAAAACTGGACTAAAACAATGTGAATGCAGATAGTATAGCCCTAATCAAATACTGAAAACAACAGACACATTCAAACATTATAACCAAAATGTGCATATCTATGGTTGTTACTTGATACAGTTTCCCCAGTCTAAGGAAAGAAAAAGGAGAAAATGTCAACCAAGAGAGCAAACTTCTGTCTGTTGGAAGGAAACACTTCTTCAGAGAGTACTCACCTAAAGGTAATAATTCGCATAAAAACCAAAGCATCTAAGCCTGAAGATGATAATATGTCCTCTTCAGACAGCTTCCATGCTTTTGTAATCCAACCAGGAGAAGGTAACAGCCTTTCTAGGTTGAAGCGACTTCTCCGTTTAGAATTGCCTTCAGCTAGCAACCGTGGTACATAGACTTCATAATAACTAGGTTGCTTCCTCAGAATGGAGTACAATACAAAGAAAAGAACACAGAGACCAGAATTTATTCCCACAGATGTTAGAAGCGCAGAGACAAGCATTTTGTCAAGGCAACTTACAAAAAATGATCAATCAACTCCTGAACTGCACCAAAACACAAGGTCACAAGGCAAAAACTTAAAATTTTCGAATAAAAATTTTGAAAAAATTAAAATTTATGCAATCTGAAAATTCCAGAATATCATCCAAAAATATTGAATAAATGAGATATACTCTTTTGGAACATATAATACCACAAAATTTAAGTTCCCATTTGGATAGCTTGTCATTTTTAATGATTTATTATTTGGAATTCTGCTCCAATAGAACTCATTTACAAGGACATGCTTAAAATGCTTGGAATGTCAAAAAAAGTTATTGGAAATTTTATATCCATGAAATAGATTATACTTGAGCCAAATCCGATCAAAAATTAGAAGAACCAAATGAATTTAAAATAAATTCATCTATTAATAATATTAAAAAACAATATGATAATTCACTTATAAATATATTCTATTATGATGTGTATTTGAAAATTGAATCAAATAATCATGTGGTTACAAACACAATGATCCTTAAAACTACAAGTCAATTATCTCCACAATTACACCTGGAATGATGAAAGGACGTTATATGAAAGAACAAGCACAACATTAGCATTTCGTAGTGAAAATAAAATCTATTCAAAATCATGTACATCATTTGAAGTTATTCATATCCTTCAGCAATCAAAGATCCACCATTAAATCTATGTTCCCTAAACGCAAATGCAGATCATAATACTATCATAATAAATAAAAATAAACCATAACCTACAAACAAAACACACATTTTACAAAAAATAAAAATAAACCATAAATAAAACTTAAAAAAGGAGCACTATCTAATCAAATCCTTGAAACAAACAAGGCACAGAGTAAACTCAGAACCGCAATTACAACATACAAATCATTTCACATTTCCCTCCAAACGCAACTTCCAAAACTGCTGTAACAGTATTTAAACAAAGGATACCTTAGGTTACTCTTTACTTCGACATGATCAGCAATACACGCAATTGCATAACGCTACGTATGAAACAAACCACAAAAATAAAATCTAGAGCAAGAAATTTACCCAAAAAATTGCTGGACGTTGACAGAAAGATGCAAATCAAAGAAACTGAAGCTGGAGTTATTTTGAATTTGAGGCAGCAAATAATTTAGCAAAAGAAACCGTTAAAGAATTTTGGTGTATGGTTTAATAGTACAAATAGATTTTGGGATTTTGACTCTGAATGGAAGTATTAGTATGGCACCAGGAAGCAGAGAGCTTACTTCTTGCAGTTGCTTGCTTCTGGATTTAATTACCTGAAATACCCCTAACATTTTCGCTTGCTTTCCGTGTCTTTAAAAAATACGAAATGAATTACTACAGAAAGGAACAGTGAAGGATTATATGGCGGGTTTTAATTAGTTGAAGACAGGGAGAAATTGGGGATTCTGAAATAAATAAATAGAACGAGACGGGTAGTTACAACTCAAAAGGTTTTGCGCTCCCGATCGGCAATCATCCGCTAAACTACTAGTCAGACTCGAAAGACCGTCAGCATTTTTTATGAAATTTGACTCTTTTTTTTTTTTTTTTTTTTTTAAAAACTTTGGTAAATGACATATACTAGTCAGACTCGAAAGAACCGTCACATTTTTTATGAAATTTAGACTCTTAGGTCTTTTTTTTTTACTCTTTTTTTTTTTTTTTTTCTTTTTAAAAACTTTGGTAAATGACATATACAGTTGCAAATACGGCGATAATTTTATTATTTTTATACAGACAAATTAAAATATTATTTGGGAAAAAAAGATAAATTAGTTCCCATAGTTAATTACATTTTAAAATATAATTATTGTTCACAGCCAATGAAGAATTCAAATATAGATTTTTTCTTTTTGGTTAATTTTGAATCCAACTCTAATCAATAATGATCCAGTATACTAATTTTTGGTTCTTACTAATTTATTATACTGTTTTTCAACCGCTATTTTTAAGTATCTAATTTGGATCGGATCATCTAATTTATTTAGATTTTCATTATCATGTTCCGAAGTATAAGCATTTGTTTTCACCGTTTTCATACCTACTTGATAATATTCCTTCATACATAATATCTTTATTTTATACACATGCTTTGTTTAGTGTAAATAAATTTGAGATATACAAATCATTTGATTTTATTTTTTAAAATACCCTTAATATAATAATTTTAAAAAATTAGGAAAAAAATATATTTTTGTCATAAAACTTTAGTTATTTAATTTTTGGAGTTCATTTGAAAATTACATATATTTTACTAGAATTTTCTTTAGTTATATGCAAACTTATAGAATTAAATTTTCATTTTTTAATTATAAATATAAAAGTATAGATATATAAATAAAATTTATGAAATTCGTTTATTCTACGCGGGAAATAATTTTTATTTTAAAAAGTTTTCCCTTTAGGCAAATCAATGAGTTATATATCTAACACCACATCCTATTTGATGAGCTATGTTCACTGTACAATTATAATTGGAGAGAGCAAATCTCTGTGCCAAATTCCATACAAATTTTTGAGTAAGAGACTCCACTTTTTTACCAGGCAAAATCCAAGAGGCCATTCTTAGAGGTGGAGCGAAAAGAATGTGGGTGCCCAAATATATCTGATGGATAAAATTAATTGACGCATTGCTCACCTATACACATATCACTATTTGATCTACCCATCTCAATAAATGAATAATTTTTAAATTTTAGAGTGAAGATTTCCTTATCATAATTAATTATCATACGAGCCCTAAAAGATGAATTTCGGATTTTTTTTTTCTCTATTTTTAGTCAATTCAAGAAAGATGATTTTCGGTTTTTTCCCTCCATTTTGAGTTTTTTTTTGGGGGGGGATTTTTTGAGTTTTTTTTTTGGGGGGGGGGGGGGGGGGGGGAATTGACCTTAATAATGCAACTAGCAGTTATTGAGAAGAGGATGAGAAATAATAAATATCCATGTATGCATATCCAGTCAATTGGGTCAACTTCAGACTCTTCCCCAGCTCTGCTCTAGATATTTCTATACCTGCTAAAAATCAACCAGGCTTATGAGCAGATATTGCAAAACAAGATGTGATACTCTCCTAACAATTTCATGATCTGCAATCAAATGGTCAAGATTTATCTCTTTAAAAATGGATTTGATCAAGAAAAATTACTGGGTTACGTAATTATTGTTTTCTGAATTCAGTAAAGAGGAAAAAAAAAAATCTATTCACAAGTTAATTTATGTAATTAACTAATTCATGATATATATATATATATCCTGTTAAAAAGACAAAGCATATAGACTGGTTTTTTACAATACCAACAGGGAAAATAAATATCAGTTTTCAGTTATCCAGAATCCGAAACTAACACCATGGCTACTTGATAAAAGTCATCCTTCCCTAATTTTCTACAGACTTCAAATTCTAGTCTTAGTAGAGGCTAGAACACCAATCAAGAACAGCAATGGAAGGTGGTGAAGCCACAGAATCCTTGAATGATTGGGAGCAAGTCCAACCGGAAATTATTCTTCAAGATGATCTCTCTGTTTTCCCTCCAAGCTATCACGAAGGCCTACAAATCTCACCACCGCAACCACCACCACTACCACCATCACCACCAGATTCTCAGCCTCCAATCCAACCGAGTTCAGTTGTTGTGTGTAGTGCGGAAGGTGAAGAAGTATTCTCGCCGTCGCCGGACTCAAAAGCAAAAGTGGGAAATGAGATTGGCAAGTGTTTGAGGTGGCGATTTGAGATTTTGAGGTCTGGGATTGTTTGGATTGCAAGTAGAGCTCGCGGTGGAAGTGGTTTTTGGTCATTGGCTTCGGTGAGTGCAGTATTTGCGACCGCGGTGTTGCTGTATTTGAAGCTGCAGAAGTGGCGTCAATGGGTCCGTGAAGAGAGCGAGAATCGTCTGATCCATCTTATCAAAGAGAAAGACCAGGTCCATTTGCTAATTCAACCATTTTATTTTTTGAAATCTTGCGGATGCATTGAATTGGTTGCTAAATTTAAAGTGTTTGAATAAATGCCAAAGAGAAACAGTAGTTTTACTGGAATGGTTGGATTGACAGAAAGAAATTAAGCATTAGCTTTCATGGGTTTAAGAACTGTTTAGGGATATGGGTTTAAGCCCTTAGCATAGTTTAATTAGTTTGTCAATAAAGAGTAATCAAGTCTCTTGCTTATGCCTCTAATAAGTGTCTCATATAATTTTGCAGAAGATTAGCCAGCTCTTGCTTCAGATTGCCCAGATGAATGAAATGTTATCTGCCCGTCGGAAGGTTCCAGTTGTCCGAGTTGGTTGATTGACAAGGAACTTTGTCCCTCTACAATTGCTACTAGAAAATTATGGATATTTTCCTTTTCCATTTAGAGATGTATATGTGTGTGTGTGTGTGTATATTCACATTCAATATATGTTGGTGACTGCACCAGTTTCCAAAATTTTTTCTAGAGTTGATTTATATTCAATCTTGTTTTTCACTGGCTTGTCATGCTATGTGCTTCTGAGCCCAGATGTAGGAAGAGTGGCATATGCCAATATGCAACTCGTGATTAGATATATGCATGAGGATAATAGTGCTAGTCATTAGATTGGCTTCTCTCAATTAATCTTCAATCTTTTTCCCCTTTTTATTTTCCAAAAAAAAAAAAAAAAAAAAAAAATTTTTTCCCCCCTTTTTTATTTTCCAAAAAAAAAAAAAAACCAAAAAAAAAAAAAAAAAAAAAAAAATTCGCCTTGTTGGATTGAAACTTAAGCAAATAGTATTTTATAAAATACACAGCAATATCTTTTGCTGTTATTGAAGGAGTGGGTGTCTTTCCTTTGATAGAAAAACTAGTTGTAGTCCTGCATCTTGGAGTTGTGCAGGAATTAATTTGGATTTGAAAAATAGTTAATTCAAATATTTATATCCCTTGCTTAGAATAGACAAATTCTACAAAATTTTATGAAATTTATTTATAAATCTAAAATTTTGTATCTATTAAGAAAAAAAATGAATAATTAAATTTTAGGAATTCAATTTTATAGATTTAAATGTAATTAAATCAGATTCTATATATGTAAAAAAAAGTAAAATTTCTAAATGAATTCAATAAATTTAAACAACTAAAGCTTTATGACAAAATTTTTAATCATTTTAGCCTCCTAAAATTATTATGCCAAGAGTATTTTAGGAATAAAAGCAAATAAATTCTTAATTTTTCAATTTATTCTAAATGTAAAAATTTTATCTACAAATAAATTATATTTAAAATAAATGAATTCTATGTTTTGATTTTATTTATATCCAACGGAGCATAAAGTAATAAATATAAATAACATTAGGATATTATAGACTAGCATAGTTAATAATTTGAATTTTATATTACATCAGGTCCCTTTTTATAATTTTTTTTTTTTTTTTGAGTATTGAGGTAGCATGATTTAATATGTAAGATTGTATATGCACTTATTATTAGGTCATGCCTTGATATATGAAAAAAAAAGATAGATAGAGGGATTTGCTAATTGTAAAAATTTTCATAATTTTAATAAGCAATTAGTAAAAATTACCTCTCCCATTCTCAAAAAAAAAAAAAAAAAAAAAAAAAAAAAAAAAAAAAAAAAAAACAAAAAAAAAAAAAAAAAAAAAAAAAAAAAAAAAAAAAAAAAACAAAAATTGGAGTTTACATATTATTACATGAGGTTTAAGGCCCAAAAGGACAAACTTGAAAAAAAAAAAAAAAAAAAAAAAAAAAAAAAAAAAAAAACAAAAATTGGAAGTACATATTATACATGAGGTTAAGGCCCAAAAGACAACTTGAATATTTTAGCCCAAGCCTTAGCCAGTTTGCCCCTTGCACACTCCAGACTAAAGACTTCGAAGCACGGTTTCGTCGTTCTTACATCTTTTCAAGTACAGAAGCAAATCGATCTACTCCATTAACGCTCGATCTTCTTCTCCAGGTTTCTGATTTTTTTATATATCCTATTATAATTCTTCTAAGAAACCAGTTTGTCTTTACTCTCTTCCTTTTCTTGTTTTCAATGAATTTGGTTACCTTCAAACTGAATCCGCTAAATAAACCTCGCAGGACAGCTTTTATTTATTTTTTTTCTATGTCAATTGTTGGTCTCTTTTCGAGTAAATTAAGTACCGTTTAGCTAGATTTGTTCTTTAAGCAAGCAAGCTAGGGATTAATCTTTTGAAGCTGCATCGACTGTTTAACTCTTGTGATTACTGTTATTACTGTTTGTTAATAAAGTAATATTGCCATAGTTTCAGCACATCTAGGTTTTTTCCTGCGTTGAATTTTGTGTTTTTTTTTTGTATTTTATTTTATTTTTTTTTTCAAGCACATATTGCTGCCAGTCGGGGTTTGTGTTATACAGTCTTGGTAGGAATTGTTAGCAACAATTTGGGACAATAGTTTTTATTTTATGTAAAATCCAATTATCTGAACTCTGTGTTGGTGTTATTGTTACAAATGGATTGGTTGTATGTTAACAATGCTATAGTGCCGTTAGAGTTAAGCTGATTGAACCTCCATTTCCATTAGAGGCTACATGCATCAAATTTGGATGTGGCACTGTTTTTTTTCTATTATTAAGTATAGTTGTTGTAAGAAGTAGAATGATTGGATGGAAGGAACTGGAGCATGGAATATAGGTTGAGCTTGGTTTGACATCTTCATGCCACGATTGGAAATTTAGGTCAGCATCAACTGATAGGAAGTTTTTCATGTTCTTTATCTGTTGACTGAGGTATTTTATTTGTATATAGATCGAGAATAATCAACTGTACAACAAAAGAATAAGTTTTTTTATTTTTGGTTAGTGGTTGTTGTAACTCGGCATACTTATACCATACTAGTAGGTCCACTGCTCAATTGTCAAGGTGCTACTTAAGCTGAAGAATATTTGCAATAGATTTAATTGACTAATTGATGCAATGATGACTGTTAATAGCTCCCTCCTGTGTGACTGACAAATTGGGTTTGATGAAGTATGAGTATCAGTATCAACTGAATCATTATTTATCTCCCTGTTTGAGTCCATGAGAGCTTCAATAAATTAAAGATTGACTTTTATTTTTAAGGACCTGTCTCCTTTTTAGTATAATTGCTGTAAAAATAAATTGGAGTGGAGAATGGGGAGAAGAGGAGGTTAACCACTGACTAAGCCTCTTCTTTGCATTTTCTATTTCATCCATCATATTGTATGGTTTGCTTGGAATATAATCATGCCATCACTTCTAGAAACGTCAAATTTTGTATTATGGTCTTTGATCTTTCTAATTTTGCACATATCTGGGATATGAGGAGAATGGTTAACCTACTTTTGTATTGTCATTTGTGGGATATTATCAACCTCAGTGGATATGGTTTCTTCTGTGGTAATACTTTCAGTGGGCTTAATTATCAAGCTATTTTTTTCTATTGATTGTTTTCTTATCACCAGACTGAGCAAAAACATATAATATAAATTACTATATTGTTCGGCTCTTAGGAATTGCTATATAGGCAGGAGACCGGTTGAGTTTTGTTCGCTGTATAATATCAAACTTCATATACACCAACCACCCCCACCCGGAAAAAAAAGGTCTTTTGATAGTGTTAATTTTCTTTCAGGATGAATTAGCCAGTTTCTGTGTGCTCCTGTTTTTGGCCCCAGTGTCCTAGTACTGTTTTAGATTTTGCAAGCTGCTGCAATGGCTGGTTTTAGCGGCATCAAGTATTGCAAATTACTATGTTAAAATAAGTTGCAGTCGCATGTGACACATTTGCACGTTTTACTTTCTTTAGCCATTTGTATGTTTTTTTTTTTCTCCTACAGTTATCATTTATTAGTGCTTGATGCAAGATAAGACATATCAAGTTAATTATTGATTTTGCAGGACTGAAATTTCAAAGCATCAACAATGTCGACATCATATCTCCCTGCAACTACTGATTCAATTGCTCAGGCTTTAGAAGCAAAAGCCCCAACTGAATCCATTTCTATCTATTACCGAATACTAGAGAATCCATCCTCTTCTCCTGAATCTATAAGGATCAAAGAACAGGCTATTGCCAATCTCTCAGATCTCCTCAAAGAAGAGCAACGGGCAGAGGAGCTTCGAAGCCTTCTGACCCAACTAAGGCCCTTCTTTGCCTTGATTCCGAAAGCCAAAACAGCTAAAATTGTTCGTGGAATAATTGATGCAGTCTCTAAAATACCAAACACATCTGATCTCCAGATTTCTCTTTGCAAAGAAATGGTGCAGTGGACCCGTGCTGAGAAGCGAACTTTTCTACGGCAGAGAGTTGAGGCAAGGCTTGCATATCTTTTGATGGAGACCAAGGAGTACTCAGAGGCATTGAATCTCCTTTCTGGCCTAATTAAGGAGGTCAGACGACTGGATGATAAGCTTCTCCTAGTGGACATTAACATACTGGAAAGCAAGCTTCACTTTGCTCTAAGAAATCTTCCTAAAGCCAAGGCTGCACTGACTGCTGCAAGAACAGCAGCCAATGCAATTTATGTTCCACCGGCCCAACAGGGGACCATCGATTTGCAGAGTGGGATCCTTCATGCGGAAGAGAAGGATTACAAAACTGCATACAGCTACTTCTTCGAAGCATTTGAAGCTTTCAGTGCTCTTGATGATAAACAAGCAGTATGTAGCCTTAAATATATGTTGTTATGCAAGATAATGGTGAACCAAGCTGATGATGTTGCAGGAATAATATCAGCCAAGGCAGGGATGAAATATGCGGGGCTTGAGCTGGATGCAATGAAAGCTGTTGCCGATGCTCATGCTAAACGCTCTCTAAAGCTGTTTGAGATTGCACTCCAGAGTTACAATGCCCAACTTGAGGAAGACCCAGTTGTTCACCGCCACCTGTCTTCCCTGTACGACACTTTATTGGAGCAAAACCTCTGCCGGTTGATTGAGCCTTTCTCCAGAGTCGAGATTGCTCATGTAGCTGATCTGATTGAATTGCCTCTAGATCATGTGGAGAAGAAACTGTCTCAGATGATTCTGGATAAGAAGTTTGCCGGAACATTGGACCAGGGCGCTGGATGCCTCATCATTTTTGACGATCCCAAAACAGATGCAATCTACCCAGCAACATTGGAGACTATTTCCAATATCGGCAAGGTTGTTGATAGCCTGTATGTGAGGTCAGCCAAGATAATGGCTTAAATTTCTAGATGTAGGAGTACACCATATTCACCATGTCAGTTAACCAATTTCTTTTTTAATTTTTTTCAGTATAATTCTTCTTGAGCAGGTTGTTTGTCTTTAAATGTTTTTGTCTTTGAAGTAATGCACTTAATCTGCTCTGTTTGTCAAGTTATGTTTTCCCGTGAGAGTAGAACATTATATCTATCTCTACTATTGGAAGGACTTGCGCATTAAAAAAAAATATGAATATAACAGAAATTTCACCTTATAAAAATGGATATGAAAAGCAATTTCATTGGTTCTTTTTTTTTTTATTTTTTTATTTTTTATGTTTTGTTCTCATATTCTTCTCTGGAAGGTGAGGTACCGGATTTAGTAATGCAAGGTCTGGATTTTTATATTGTATATATGGAACACAAGTTGCATGGATTTGTGTTATCGTTCCAGATATTGATGTCGTCACTTGTCCATATTTTATAACCTGATATATGTAACCAAGTACACATTGATTTGATAACAAATGCAAACTTATAGATAAATCTAACAGTAAGTAAGAATTGTAATTCCAATTTTTCTTCCTCAATATAATAATGATAATAATAGTAAAAGTTTAACAAATATAATTATATAAATCAAAACTAATTAACATTTATACTAAAAGAGTATTGACTATTGGATGGTAAATTTTCCATTTTGAATTTTGGACTTTCAATTGAAGTAAAGCCAAAAAAATAAGATTTTTGGTTCGGAATAAGATAATTGGATTATTATTTTTAGGAGAATTTATTTACCACGCATAATTTTTTAAAAAATTCTTTTTGTTATTAATTTGTTGTATAAGTGACATTAAGTATAAATGAGTTTTATCTGGAAAATATATACTTCACAGCTAAATTTATAAGAAGGAAATTTTGTTTCACAAGTATATAGGAAAATATATTCAAATCAAAGTTTTTATAATACTTCTAATGACCTTAATTTTTTTTTTTAATAGTAAATATCGGGAGTAGACTATACGGTTTGAAATATCTCATCACCATCGTTGAGAGAATTTTTTTTTTCTTTGAATATTGGACAGGAGTTTTGGGTAAAAAAAAAAGCCAAAAATAAATATCACTGTGCAAATAATAATAATAATGTTAATGTTACCATTGAAATACATAAATTGTTACAAAAAATTTTTACAGTGAGTTTTTTTTTTTTTTTTTTTTTTTTTTTCTTTGAAATGACAGGAGTTTTGGGTAAAAAAAAAAAAAGCCAAAAATAAATATCACTGTGCAAAATAATTTAATATGAATTTAATGTTACCATTTGAACTACATAAATTGTACCAAAAATTTTACAGTGCAGTTTTTTTTTTTTTGCATTAATGCCATTTTGATTCTAGCTCTATTTGCTTTGGCTTTTTGCTCTCGAAGATCCGTCTCGTGTAGAATAACAAAAAGTCGTCCTTTGCTATTCCTCGCGCTCCTTTACATTTTCGTCTCATCTCTGTTTCCTTACCTGCTTAACTGAGAGAGAGAGTTATTTACGGATCTCACATATATACAATCGATAGCACCGCGTTAAAGCCATTGCTGATGTCTGATCATACCCAAATGGCTTCATCTTCAGTTTCTGTTCTTTTTACTCTTCAGCTCTAACTTCTGCTTAATGCCATGGTTATTCTTCGCCACTGCTTCGCTCGAAGACGGCGCTGATTAGTTTCTCATTGGATCAAACAACATATGTGGCATTCTCTATGTAGATACCTATATTTGAGCTATTTTGAACCTATACTGTATTGGTGATTGCCCTCTGAGAAGAATATATTTGCGTAGTGAAAGATATTTTTGGTTTTATTTCTCACATATCTATAAAATGAAATTTCGTTGACTTAAAAATTTTCACACATTTATCATAGCCATTGTTGTTAGCCAGTGGAACGTCATAACAAAAACAAGGTTGTACATACGTTCTGTTCAGTGAAATCTAGATTACATAACAAGAATGTGTATTATATATATACATTTATACGCTGCCTGAATTTAGGCATGGTTACTATCTCCTAGAAAAAAACCAGAAATAAGAGAACAATTGTTTCTTCGTGTTTGTCTCTCACATGTTGTTATCGGTAGGATTGGAGTGACTTCACTATGGCACTTCTAATTTATCAGATGCTTACGAATCTGAGTCAGTCAGCCAGTGTGTCTCTCGTGAGCATCTCGTAGTGATATGTTGTAAAGCTCATAACTTCAATTCCTCTGTTTTATCTTTCACTGTCTCTTTCCGCGCTTGATTTACTTGTTGTAGCGAGTATAAAACAAAAGGTGATCTCTTTGTTAACTGTAGCTATGGGTCGTAGTGTTAAGAGCTGTCTTTGCTGTTCACATGTAAGTGTTGTGGTTAATTAGACATTGAGATGAGGGGCTTTTTTATGTTATCAATATCAAATGTATTTAAGGTAATTAGAAGGTTTTACCAAGTGAGAACTCGAGTTTGATTGGCTCAATTAATTCGCAATTTAACCTTCTTAAGGAAAAACAAGTACGTGCGAATGCCCCTTCTCAAACTGAAATAAATTCCTTCCTTCTTGTTTTATTTCTCCAGGCATACAACACTCTCTGAAACCATGCACAAGCCCAAGATGTGATAACTTTTGCTGGCCTGTTTTCCTAGTTCAACGAAGCTGTCCCTCCCCACCGCTATTTTGATAATTATCGCCACCCACCTTACAATCATCTTATCGAAAGTCGTCGTATTAAGAGCGTCTGTCGTATAAAATATTTTCAGATATATTTGCAGCCTGGGTTTCCTATTGGATTTAATCGGCTCCAGGTCATATGCGACAAATTGCGAATATTTTGATCAAATTCCGATATAGGTGATCGATGATGACATGGAGTGGATTAGTCATCACCACGAGTCATTGGCGCTAGGTGCGCTTTCGCATTTGTATTAGGTCCGAGCGACTGGATCGACCAGTAGTACTAGAATAATGATATATTGCGTTTTGCGCTCGACCTCGAAACATTCTCGTACTCTCGAAAGTAGACTGTGCGTGGAGTCGCTTTATGACCAGCTAGCAAAATCGTGGCGTAGATCATCTTAGACATTTTGAGGACTTGAGAACCGTTCGAGTAATGTGAACTCTGATCCAAATTATTTCTTTAATAATAAGCTACTATAGCTCGCATGACCTTATATCGCGCAAGTACGCTCGCCTTGTAATGGTCTAGTATCAATTGTAGGTGTAGAATACACTGCTATAACTTGAGTTTAATCTGTGGCAATACTAGCACTTTTTTTTTTTTTTTTTTGCATATCCATTTTGTTCTGCTTTGTTTTTTCTCTCGCGTCGTAGAAAACAAAAAGTCGTCCTTTGCATTCCTCGCTCTTTACTTCTCTCTCTCTTTTCCTACCTGCGAAACTGAGAGAGAGAGTTTATTTACGGATCTCACTGTTTCGATCCAAGCACCGGTAAGCCATTGCTATTGATCTACCAAATGCTTCACTTCAGTTCTGTCTTTTACTTCAGTCTACTTCGCTTAATGCCTGTTATTCTTGCCACTGTTCCTCCGAAGACTTGCTGTTTCTTTTATTCACACTTTGGCTTTTTAGTTATTGGCATTGAACCTCTGTTTGGTTGCCCGGAAACTTTCTGTGAGATTTTTTTTTTTTCACCATCTTATGATTCGTGCAATTCCTTCAAATTTTGTTAGCAGAAGCAAATGTCATCGGTTAAGTGAAAATCTAGATTCTGTTTTAGGTAAACCTTTCTTTGAAAAAAAAAAAAAAATTCGGTCCGGTTTTTCATTTGATCGAATGGGGATCTTCCTTGCATCTTTTTGCTAGATCTGATGCAGCCAGTTTCTTATTAGGATATGTAGTAATTTGCTGTTTCCTTTTCTTTCCCCTTTTATTAGTGTGATATAAAGTTCGTTGATTGTATGTAGTGTTAAGAGTCTTGTCTTTGCATGCAAGTAATGTTTGTTAATTGAATTGAGATTGAGATTTTTATTATATTAAATTATTAAATTAGGGTTTTAAATGAGCTCATTGTGATTTTAATTATTTGCAATTTAACTTCTTGAAGAATAAAAGATGGAGAATGCCCCTTCAACTGAAATTTTCCCTTTTTTTTTGAGATGAAATTCTGAAACTGCACAAGAAATGATAACTTTTGCTGGTGCTTTTCAATAGTTCAGACTGCTCAAGCTTCATTTTGATATATGCACCTCACATTTATGAAAGTCTTCATTAAGAGGCTGCGGTTTATTTATTTTGCACCTGTTTCCTTGTTTATGGCTAATGAGCATGGATTGGTTGTTTTGTCGATATGAAGGGTATGCATCACCCGAGTTCTTGTGCCTCCTCTGTTTAGCGACTGGTAGATACTGATAGAAATTGGGTTGAGTACTGAACATTGTACAGAGTAGAGTCATGGGTCGCTTAAAGCTGCAATCTGGAATCAAAGCAATTGAGGAAGAACCCGAGGAATGTGACTCTTCTTATTCTAATAAAGCTACTTTAGCTTGCATGATTAATGCAGAAGTAGGTGCTGTATTGGCAGTCATGAGGAGAAATGTAAGATGGGGAGGTCGTTATATGTCTGGTGACGATCAGCTAGAGCACTCTTTGATTCAGTCCTTGAAGGCATTGCGGAAGCAAATTTTTTCATGGCAGCATCCGTGGCATACCATCAACCCTGCTGTGTATCTCCAGCCATTTTTGGATGTAATTCGATCTGATGAAACTGGTGCTTCTATCACTGGGGTTGCATTATCATCTGTTTACAAGATTTTAACCCTTGACGTGATTGATCAAAACACTGTAAATGTTGAAGATGCCATGCACTTGGTAGTTGATGCTGTGACAAGTTGTCGATTTGAAGTGACAGATCCTGCATCAGAAGAGGTGGTGCTAATGAAAATTCTTCAGGTTCTTCTAGCTTGTATGAAAAGCAAAGCATCAGTCACACTAAGTAACCAGCATGTCTGTACCATAGTAAACACTTGTTTCCGTATAGTTCACCAAGCTGGAAGTAAAGGTGAATTGTTACAACGGATAGCTCGGCACACAATGCATGAACTTGTTAGGTGCATTTTTTCCCACCTACCAGATGTTGACAACACAGAACATGCACTGGTTAATGGAGTTAGTCCTGCCAAACAGGAGGTATAAATGTATATTTAATTCTTGTTATTTGAAAATTATCCTGTTTTGTTGATGTCCATCAAGGCTACTATGTTGAAATTTATTTTATTTTTTTTTATAAAAAGATCCCTTCTACTT